AATGGGGGTTCGGAGATGGAGATGGAGATGGAGATGGAGATGAAATGATGCAGGTGAATGGAGAATGAAGAATGGACGGAGCAATTTAATTATTTAGGGCGACTTTGGCTGGAGGTGGGGATGGATTGGCGGCTACAGTGGGCGGTGGGCGGTGGGCGGTGGGCACTGACACAATGGGCAGTGGATAGTGGAGAATGGGCACTGAGGAATGGAAAATCATCACTATCATTTAGTTAAAGGGGGCAGATCATCAACCTCAAATGAATGAATGGAATGTGAATTGGGACTTGAAATATTGAATATCACTCAATAACTGTCTAACCGTCTTTTTACACTTCTTTTGACACGACAGATGACAAGGATCCTCAGGTAACTGCTATTGACAATATTGATATTTTACTGCTTTGGCTTTGGACATCCATGGTTGAAGATGGAGCCGAGGTAGTAGTTAGGCATGGATGTGCAAGGTTACCCTCTGTCACTTGAGTTTTACTTGAGTTTTACTTGAGTTTGCACCACTTTTGTCACTTGTCCTGGGGTACCATAACCCACTTGAAGAAGTATCCTGACATTTGAAATGCTCTAATTCCACCACTTCCTCCAACCACTATTCTTCATTATCTTATTCTCTGCTTCATATATATATAATAAAGTCCCTTCAATCCACGAATCCAACCAGCCATACGGAGTACAAATACCCCCAACTCCCCCGCTGTGATTGATCCTCCTTTCCCTCCCGTCACAAACCCCCTGCGATCCATTCCCACCAAACGATCTTCAGCGATTCGTGGCTCTCATCGGCGCCATCACAATGGCTAAAATGAAGACCACAGTTTGCAAGTTGCTGGCTTGAGCCCTTCAATCCTTTTCAAAACCTTTCCCCATCCTCAAAAATGTGAATAATGGCCCGTCCACCAACCCTGTACTCCGCAGTCTGCATGGTCCTTCAACCTGCCTCCATTGAATCCAAACCAATCCTATGGCGTTGCAGAATTGACCGCTCCTAATGCAGACACGCTCTTTAGGCCATAAGCCAAAGGGTGCTAACTAACTTTTAACTATACTAGCCTCTGTTTCTTGAACCCGCATATCCCTGCTATCGTCTATCCTGTCGCTATCTGATAAGAGGGTGATGTTTACGAAAACTTCCCCTCAAGGCGCTACCAAGAAGTCGATGGTCGAAAAGGAGAAATCCTGGATATCTAAAAGAAAACCACACCAATGGCACCACTGTCAGCTTTCCCTCCTTAGTCCAAGGTGCCATTGTTGTTCCAAACCCAACTTCGAAGTGGAGACTGGCTCTTAATTTGTCCATTGCTTCTCCTGAGCTCCTCTCCGATCACTCCCAAAGGTTTTTGGTGGATAAACCTAAAAAAGGAGGTCATCCTTTTGACGAACCATCTTTATACATTAGATGCTATTTTCCGCTCATATATCTTGCTGGTCTATTTTCCTAATTTGCACCAGCATCCTTGATGGAATGATAATGTCAACTGTCATCCAAAAAATTAAAAAAAAATTAAAAAAAATAAAAAAAAAGTGTCGAGTTCAGGCCAGCGGAAGGGCTAGCTAAGTCAACACGAACAGTGTTACATCCAAACGCGGACAAAAGACGGCTTTCTAGTTGCTCTGTTTATCTGGTTCCTGATTTCCAAAAGTCCTGTCTTGTTGACCAATTAGCATTTTGCTAAAGAGGCACCTGTGTGCTTCAAAGGAGGAATCCTGGGAGCAGGCAAACTCAATATGTATTATGCACCCTTTTCTTCAACAAGTTTGGCAACCCCTTTCTTCTTTTTCATGGGAGCACCGTTGGTGCTTGCACTCGCGCTCGCTGGCCGGGGCAAGTTACGGATTTTGGTTAACCGTCGGCGATAATAATGAATATCATTAAAAAGAGGCCTGGCAAAGGGGAAAAAGTCCCACTTAAGAGCAGTTACAATATTCAACATGGAAAAGTTTGTGAAGGTGAAAAAATACTTTATGTAGCCGCCTTTCACAAGGGCACCGTCAATGCTTATGATCATTCGTCAATTACAGACATCCATGCATCCATCAACTCTGCTGAATCATTGGGAAGAAAAAGACATGCGGTTCGCTGGCCCATGTGTGTCTGTCAAAAGTCTCGAAGCGCCAACGCTGTCCCCTCCCTCCACCCTTCAACCTACCTCAACATGATTAACATCCCGGAGATGTCTGCACATGGAATACACGCAATCGAAATCGGCGTTATTGCCAGTCATGACAATTGGATACGTCTTAGAACACAGGTTAGGTTACAAAAATAAAATAAAAGGCAAAACATGGCTTAAGGCATCGTGATCGAACGAACCAGCCCTGGAGGACAGCCTTGCGACCTAATTATAGGCTTCTATGACAGGATTCACAAGATTGGCGGAGTAATTTTCTGTCAGAACTTTCCCAGTTACCTTGCTTTTTACATGCCTCAATTTATTTTTCATTTTATTATTATTATTATTATTATTTTCTTAGTTGACAATTTTACCCCGCGAAACTTGATGCTGGAATCCGCCGGGTCTCGCCATCTCAATGGTCTAGCACTATTTTAGATCAACCACAGTTTGATTCGATTATCAATCTAATGACACCAATACCAGGGACTCATAAAGCAATATCGACTACTAAATCATCAAAAAGGAAAGAATAGAGAGGGGACAAGAAGAACGAAGGTTATATCCAACAATTTGATCACTTTCTTTGTCAGACTGTCACTGTCAGACATGCGATTCTGAACATTGTTACAGCATCACGACAGTCCTCGATGAAAGAGAAGCAGACATCCCATCTGGAATGCCCACAATCTTCGTCCTGCGAAACCCACATCGCCTGTCAGTCACCTGATTTAGTTACTCAATGAGGGGCGGAAATTTCGTCTGATTGGACATGTTGCCTTCTCTTGCATGGGAATTCAAAACATAGCATCAATCATGAGCCCTAGAAGCTTTGGCTAGGGATAATTGGATTCTATGTGCAGGACAAGCAAAAATCCCCTCGATGCAAGCAAAGCGTTTCGCAAATTGCCAATGATGCCAACGACTTGATCGGAATTAACAGGTCCAAACTGTCTATTTGCTTCCGTTGTTTTGTGAGAGCTGCTTGGGATTTTGAGAAATCCACAGGGCTTGATGAAGGCCTCTTCATACAATGGCCCAAACCCTTGACTTAGCTAGTACCAGGTCTCCGGAATAAGTTGTCCATACTGGCTAGCTTGATGCAATCCAAGGTAGAGCGGATGGATTACCACCAATCACCCGTCAGCCTTGAGTATCGAAGACAGACTTTCAACCCCTTTTCTTTCCTGGTTCTTGTTACCTCATCTCAAAACTATAGTTAGAGTTGGCTGATTATTTAAGAAAATCTCATTCCCTTTCCCCTTCTCTCTAATTTGGGTTAATCAGACCATCCAAGCAGGTGCAGATTTAGGCACAGATTTCCCAGTGTCCCTCTTCAGTTGGATTTGGGGTTTTATGATACTACCTTGGGCTCAATCTCTAGCTGGGGGACAGGCAGTGTCTCAACTTCTTCCTGGCCTATCATACGTCCCCTGAGATCATCTTCCATTATCAGCTGTGCTGAGCAGCATATATGGCACTCCCTCGGTTTCCCCCGCCGCTCCTTGAAATAAACAGAGTGGCATCTAGAGTTGATTTTGGAATGATGTCAGGGACGATAGTGTCATATTCCTTTTCGAAATTTTCAGCACAGACTTTGCGCGTCCGTGTAATATGTTCAAACGCCGTTATTCCCGAGATCGGGTTGCATCCATCTCGGGAATACGCCCGGAACTACGTCACGTTTTGAATGCGAAAACCACCCTTGTGGGACAGGGACAAGGCGGTGGGTCACTTATGAGAAACCATGCATACACTACATGTAGGCATATCATATAAATCACACATGGGGTTGTGGTTGAACAATTATGCTCTGTAATGATCCATCAGTACATGGAAACCTCACTATCCAGACTTCTGGTTATACATTTAATGAACAGCTTGCATATCAGAACCCAGATACAATTTCGCATTTATTACAGCGTCCTCCTGCTGGCTATTATATCAAGGGTCCTTCCAGTAATCTCTGATAATCCCCTGCTATCACCGAGCAGCCATGACATGAACGAATGATACCAACACCCAATCTTTGTCGTCGTTCCACATCCGTCGATGTAACACCTTATTTTTCAGAAAGGTAGTGCACCAGCATATGAAATAGAACCAATATCGAATATTCCACATCACACACGCCTTTTTTTCCTGTGGCCGTTTTAAAATAGGAAGCCGAAAAACAAAAGGAGGGGGGGGGAGGGGGGGGAAACCCAATATCCTGTTCGCAGAAACCATTCGAATGTCGAAAAGAGGCGGCAGAGGTATACATCCCCTTTTCCATCACACGCTATTTAAACATGGTTCCCACCCTTGCAGTTGTCTTACTACATTCATGCCACATGTGCACCTTTCTCTGATTTATAGATATAGCAACGGTGATCTATCGGATCCCTCTCTTGCCTCGTGCTTGCGTGTGTGCGGAGTAAACCGACAAAAAAAGTAAAATAAAATAAAATAAAATAAAATAAAAGGGCTGAAGTGGGATGAATTTGTAAAAACAGAAAAGAAAGAGGTGCGGACGTCTGGAATGCGAGAAGAAACCGTAGTTCATTTTCATCAATTCGCAGATCCCTTACCCTCTTCTCCCACTCTCCCACTCTCCCCCCTGCCTATAAGGTTCGAACGTCCTGGAAATAACAGTGATACAGAACATCAAATTGGCAGCTCTGTTGTTTGGTAGGCAGCATGTAGCATGTCTACGTTATGGATGTCATTTTTGAATGATGTATTCTGCATCCGCCCTCTTTACCTCAAGTTGCATCCGTATATCTGTATATTGAATCCATCCTCGATCCAACCCCTCTGGCAGAATCTCGATCGAACAAAGATAACTACCATGCTGATTAACTACCTTAGACACGACATATATCACACTACATACATGGGATCGAGATTGGATCTTGATTGAAATGATACCTAGAGTATAGTGAGTTGGTTAGTCAAGCGGAGAATCAATGATCCGGCCCAGCAAATTTAGCTCGCGAATCACCCGCTTATCCTTAACTAAGAGGTACATTCGTTGTAAGATCGCTATCAAGTTGGCATCGGGGACATAAGCTGATATCACCCGTGTAGTTTTGGATTGATATTAATTCACTATGGTAGTTATATTGCTAATGCGGTGGTTAAACAGTTAGCCCTGCTTGCTCCTCTCCTTTCTTCTCTTAAATTGATGTTGATGACAAGTGCCAAACCCTGTTAACTAGGGCAAAGGTAGCCACAAAACTCTAACTATCCTTCCTGAGGAGCAGTAACTAACGTAATCAATCACCTAGCGAGACAGATCACCTACCGAGACAGGTCTCACTACGCGACGCGTTCAACTACTCAATTGATCAAAATGTCAGCAACCAAAGATGACAATCCTTCATACAAGGAAGGAAGACTTATTCTAGCCATTGAAGCAATTAAAAAAGGTCAAATTTCTAGTTCTAGAGTTGCTGCCAGATTGTACAATATCTCTCATTTCACTCTTTGCCATCGACTTCATGGCCGTACAACGCGAGAGAACTCTCAGTTAAGAAATCGAAAATTGACCTCTATTGAGGAATTATCTCTTGTTCAGTGGATAATCTCCATGGATGAATGTGGCCAGCCCCCCTGAGTGAGCACCGTATGAGAAACAGCCAACCTCCTTCTTGCCAATCGAGACAACTCTACAAACTCAGAAACTGTTGGTAAATGCTGGGTTAAACGATTTATTGACCGCCATCCTGAGTTAAAAACTCAATTCTCTCAATCGTACGACCATCAATGAGCCCTATGTGAAGACCCTAAGATTATTCAAGAATGGTTCAAGCTCGTACGGAACACTATCCAGAAATATGGCATCATACAAGAGGATATATACAACTTTGATGAGACTGGGTTTCAGATGGGAGTTATTGGAACAGCCAAGGTGATTACTGGGTCAGAGAAGACTTTCCGTCCGAAGCTTGTACAGCCTGGGAATACAGAATGGGTCACTATTGTTGAGGGTGTCAATTCAACTGGCTGGTCACTGCCTCCAATGATTATCCTCAAGGGGAAGTTGCACCAAGCTTCTTGGTTTGAGAATGGGCTACCATACGACTGGAGGATTGAAACCAGTGAAAATGGATGGACAACTGATAAGCTGGGATTGATCTGGCTTAAAGAGATGTTCAATAAACATACCCAAGCTCGTACGATCGGCCAATATCGACTCTTGATCCTGGATGGACATGGCAGCCATAATGGGCCTGAATTTGATCAGTTTTGCACTCAGAACTTGATCATTCCCCTCTACATGCCAGCTCATTCTTCTCATCTCTTGCAGCCTTTGGATGTTGCCTGTTTCTCCCCCTTGAAGCAAGCATACAGGAAAGAGGTTGAGAAGAGAATGGGACTTGGCATCAATCACATTGATAAGGATGAGTTCTTGACCATCTATCCTTCTGTTTGTACAGCAGCTCTGAGTGAAAAGAATGTTCAGAGTGGATTTAAAGCTACAGGACTAGCTCTGTACGATCCAGAGCAGGTTCTTTCCTGCCTTAATACCCAGATGCATACGCCAACACCCCCAGGAACCTCACATAGTTCCCAGGCCTCCTGGGCCACTGCCACACCCCATAATGTATGACAACTGGAGCTCCAGAGTGAGAAAATCAAGAAATATCTCAAGCGTTGTACGCAGAGCCCACCCAGTCCAACCAATCAAGCTCTGGAACAGCTAGTCAAGGGATGTCAGATGGCCATGCATAGTGCTACCATTCTGGCAGTAGAAAACAAGGCGTTAAAGGCTGCAAATGCTAAACAAAAGAGAAAACGTGAGAGACATCATACGTACATAAGCCAGGGAGAGGGATTGACTGTCCAAGAAGGGGTAGATCGCGTACGAAGACACAATGAAGTGGAAAAAGGGGTGGTAGAGCAGTCTGGTGAGTGATCACAAAAGTGAGCAGCACCACAGTGCAGTGGATGTGGCATTATAGGACATACTATTCATACATGCTCCCAGCGTACGGGGAATAATTTTTAATGTAATTAGCTGGTTTTACTATTTAGTTGTGGTGATATTCAACTACAAAGATGTTGGATGGTGGAGGCCTGTCTCGGTAGGTGATCTGTCTCGCTAGGTGATTGATTACGTTAGTTAGTTAACAATGACGTAAGCTGTATACATTTCCCTTCCTGACAAAATTCGCTGGCCCTCTGAGACTCTTGAGGTGAAGCGTCTTGATATCCTTATGTGTGGTTGGCATCAACGTTTTCTAAACAAAGACAATGACAATGAGGATCGTTCTCCTTAGTTGGCAGCTAGCTAGTTAGTTAGCCCGGACGGATGCGATACTCTATGAATGGCGCGGGAAGAGCGGGGCAGCAGCAGCCCCCAGAATCTACATGTCTAGACGACTACCTTCGACTCAAGGAGGTCTTGATCATCCAGGGATATGTGACGCCCTTCCAAATAGCTTCTTGGGCCTGTGCCCCATGTGCGAACAGAGGGCCAGACGACCCCGCCCAAAGAGCATCGCGTCTGCCAGCAAACGGCGACGCCTCTCTTCACAGTCAAGACAATGAACAGCATCCCTTCGTTGTTAAGAGGCGTAGCGTTGTTTTGAACAGATCTTTCATTCCACCCACATGGCCTCCGGCGGGACCATATGCATTAGATGTGATTGCCCCAGAAGATAACTAGTTACATGTGGCATCCTGCTTATTTCAACTCTGTGGCACGGCGTGCCCATGAAGGGAACGGTCTCAAACACGGCATGTGCAAAACGAAAAAGCGGAGGAAACCTTATTAGTCAATGCAGAAGAAAATATTTCGATCAAGGGAGGCGTTGAGCAAGTGTGCTGTCGAAGATAGTGTATCGGGAATGGTTCCAGACGGGGACTTCAAAATAGCCTCGGAAAATACGATCTCGAATCCGCTCCGGCGCTCTCACCCACTGTTGCAAGTGGGCTTGAGTTTCATGCCAACCATACCAATGCTTTTCTTCGTTTCCGGCATTTCAGCTTCGGTATGACGTCTGACGCTCCACTAAGAAAAAATTATCACATGGGCCCTGCAGCTTGTCTCCGGTACATAATTAATTAGCTTTGCAACTCTGCTTTGAAGCGGTGTGCTGTTGTATTTTCTGGTTGGGCTTTTGCTTTATTTCATTTTCCCAAATCCTTTCAAACTTTGGGTCCCTACCACTATTATTAATTTAGCTTATGCACAAAAAACATCTAGATCGGAAAAGCGTTTAAATATGGGATAACGGACTGGCTGGCTCTTATTGTTTGCCAATTTGCCTTCTGCTTCCAATAGTCCAATTCATACATATATACACCTTTGTTGGACCCCAAATCGGGTGGATGTGGAGTATAAGAAAGACAGAGATTTTTCCTCAGCCAAAGTTTGACATGTTCAGAGAATTATTTTCAACTCTTTTAAATGTCATCGATTTGCTTTTACCTTTGAAGATTCAAGTTCCCCCGTTCTCCTTCAATCCGTTTTACCATCATCCTAACCTCCCAGTTCCCTTTTGATCTCAATCGTTCTCTCACATGTTCTTTTTGCCAGAGTGGGCATACATGTCTTCATGTATAATTTATAATTCTTATTTATCGGTCTAGATATCTGCCTTTGTGGTTTTCCCGAACCTTTTTGACTGCTCACATACATGACGAGGAAATCAATTCCCATGGCTACCCACCCATTCACAATTCTCATCCTTGGGGGCGGCATTGCAGGCGTTGCCGCTGCTCTTGCGCTCTCCCAAAAACTCACGCCCCTGGTCCCCGAACTAAAAATCTCCGTCTATGAACTCCGCGATATCCCGTCAACTTCTGGCGGCGCAATCAACCTCACTCCCGTCGCCCATAGACATCTCGATCAATTAGGTGTGCTGGATGAGCTTCACAAAATGGGCCCCGAAGGCGGCATTGAAGTAGACGAGATAGAAGTCTTCTCCTCGCAAAGCGGCAGAAAAATGGGGGGGGTCGATTTTGCGGGCAAGGATGGCAAGGGATACGGCGGGTACAAGGGTCGTCGGCTCATGCGCATCTGTCTTCAGCTCGCCATGATGGCCGCCCTCTCGAAACTAGAGAATGTGGAGATGGTGTTCGGCAAAAAGGTGGTGGGGGGCATCGAGACTGAAAAGCGCGTGACTATTTATTTCGAGGACGGCACTTTTGCGAGGGGGGACCTGGCATTGGGCTGTGACGGTGTGCATTCGGCTACGAGGATGAAAATCGTTGATCCCGAGAGGCGGTCGGAATATACGGGTATTTCGTTCATTCAGGCTACTATGAAAGCGGACACAATACGGTCACCCACGCACTTTAAGGTTACCGCTCTAAATAGATCGAGACATGGGGCTTTGATGACAACCTATTGCGATGCTAATAAGGAAGATATCTTTGTGGCGGCATTGGCAGAAGTTGACGAGGATCGGTTGACCTCTGAGATCTGCAAATATCAGGCAGCGGAGTCGTGGAAGACAAAAACCACTGCAATTATGATTCTGAGGGAAGATATTCGGAATCGTTTTGGAAACTCGGGAATTCCGTGCGTTCGGGAGATTGCAGACAAGTGCTGGGACTGGTTCCTATATCCAGTGTATCAAATACGTCCTGGAGGGAAATGGCATACGGCTAGGATTATGTTATTAGGGGATGCTGCCCACGCTGTACGTATTCATGTTCCCCCCCCTTTGTACAAAATTCTCTGTGCAGCGTGCTCTCAAACTAACTGGGATAATTTTATCTTTTCACAGATGCCCCCTAAGGACGAATCAGCCGCTTATGCCCTGGACGATGCCATTCTCTTCGCCCGAGTCCTGGCTCTATACATCAACGAACCTTCCTTTGAAGCCTTCAACGTCTATGAATCCCTCCGTCGCAAAATCATCGACGATGCGTATAAATCTGCCTCTGAAAACTGGTCCCATAACAAAGACAGTAGCCGTTTTGCGAACAAAGTCGAGGAATGGCTCACACCCTGGAATTTGATGCGGGAGAAAAAGAAGAATGCGACAGCGTGGATGTTTGATGCCATGACTGTGGATATTCCGGTCCCGAGGAGGTCATTTCGGTCTGTGACCCAATGATCCGATGGTATCGCGAAGAAAAGGGTGAAGGAATTAGTATGGGACCTTCCGTTTTAATAGTATGGCTTTTGTATATTCCCACTCCGTTTTTCATTTTTGTTGAGGTCTGTTATTTTGCATATAGGCGATAACAGTTGGTCAGGGATACGTCGTTCGTTGCATGGGCCTAGTCACTGATAAAACTCGTTTGCTTTTATGGATTTCCCCGCCCACCTATCCTTCTACTTGACATAATAATGTACTATATAGATTTGACTTTTCCAATACTTCTCACCCGCCAACCCCTCCTCCCCGCCTCCCCCCCTTTTTTTATTTAGAAGGTTATAGTTAAGGAGTGCTCAAATGGGTTTACTTTGCCCTCTTACGATTTATTGTTCTGTGCACTTCTAAATTCATGTGTACATACTTGTGTTGTCAGATTTATGTTCTGTTAGTAAAGAAGACATGAACACCTTCTATCACAGATCCAGAAACTTGAGCTTTACAGTTGTTTGAGAGTTTGTAACTGATATTATGGGGTTGGGGGGAAATTGTTGAAATCTTAATCCGTTGAATATCTTCCATGTACGTACATATACATGGAGCTGTATATACATGACTGCCTGGAGGTATACCATAAGAGCAGGAGAGAACCCGCATGTTATGATCACTTTTAACGGGCATCCCCGAACAAGAAGACAAAGGACAAAAGTGTCAAGGGGAAAAAAAACGATACAGCCGTTTATAAGCAATAATACTTGGGGAAGTATAGATGGGTTCAGAAACACGACAACCAAAGAAAGCGAGAAATATATTTCCTTTTCTATTTCCTTTTTAACTCCACAGCGCAAATTTCTGCATAGCAATTAACTACCTAGCAAAAAAAACACAAAAGAAGAGATATGGCGCGCAAATATTGAACAAGAACGGGAAAATTAGTTTCCATTCCTGGCTCCTGATAAAGCATTATGCGAATTGACATATCTCATTGACAGGTCTTGGTTATTGGAACGTCAAACTCATCCGTCCAAAGCAATGTAGGTACTGCCAGGTCTGATGTACGGCAAGCGTTGCTTTCGCACAAGTCTCCTATCGAAAGGACTCACTTACGTATAAGCAAGTCAGGACATCGAGATCCTGCGACCAGCGATTCTATGGCCTAGAATTGGCATTGATACATCACCACGGTTTAGCAAGGACACCAAACTAACGTATTTCATCTGCCGAGCCACGCCATTCCCCGCCTTGACAAAGCGGTGCTCCCCATTATAATGCAGGATAGACGCTCAGGATTTCAACTGCAAGGAAAGATTGAATAAAAAAGGGGGCATGATGAAACTAGATCTCCAACTGGGATTACGAAGAACTAGTCCTCCATAACCTACTTGGCAACAGGATATACCTAGAAGGTGTCCTCCTGGTATCCATTGGAAGACCAGTGCGGACTGGTGTTCTTGAAGGTCGAGAAGGGAAGAAAAGAGAGGAAGAGGCAGCCAAAAAAAAATAAATAAATAAAATAAAATAAAATAAAATAAAAATTGAAAATAAAAATAAAAATGCAAAGCTGAGAAGAAAAAAGAAGCAAGCAAATGAACGATGATAGACCTTTCTGCGACATTCTATTCTTGTCCCGGGTTCTGGGGAGGACTTGATTCTCCTGGAAATTATCGAAAATGCTTTGCAAGGATGCATTCATTACCTTCAGCTTGCCTATCCCGGGGTGTTTGCCGCTTTTGCCTTAACTTTCCCGAAGCATGGGAGGTTGGATCAGTGAACAAGGATTAGGCATCATCCGCGGGAAGTGGTTCTGGGAGATGGTTGTATATGCATGAAACCCGACGGTTTGAGAGAAAAACACAGATTATCACTCGCTCCCTCAGCCGTTGCACTCCCTGTCTAGTGCCACAGCCTTGTCTCTATTTCGTTCTTCGGTCCTTCGAGACTCGACATTTACCAAACCCTCGTTCTCAAGGGGTTTGTGGGTTATTTGCGCTTTTCCCAATGCTGTTTGTTTGCCCGGCCAATGGGAATTTTCTGAAACAGAAAAAAGAAATAAGTCATGATTCTTGAAATATGGTGGAAGTTCGCGAGAGCAAAATCATTCGTCCCAGCATCTCGTCAGCACTCTAAGCGCACAAAAAAAAAAAAAAATAAATAAATAAAAAAAAGAAATAAAAAAAGAAATAAAATATAACATAATAATATAATATAATAAAATCGTCCGCAGCAAACACGTAGCTAACGTTAACTGAAACTAGGAGATCAGCACGGCAAAGGTCCCAAGACCATGGGACAGAACAGGCTTTTTTTCTGGACTGGTCGGTACCGAAATTCTCAAGGGACGACAAGGACGAAGAAGAAGTCGGGTTTGAAATCAAACCGCCGATACCTTCTCAGTTCGTTAGCCTTGCAGATGACTGGTAAACAGGAGATGGAACACCGAAAAATTGATTATGAATCATGATGCGTTCGTTGGGTTCGGCTTGGTATCTCCGACTACGGAATAGGTGCCTGGGCTTTTTCCCCACATTGCATTGAAAAGAGAGGGAGATCGGTGCACTCGAATCCTCCTCCACCTTTCAAGTGGATGGAAAGTTCGGGTTCAAACAAGAAAAAGAAAAAAAAAAAAGAAAAAAATATGACCCAGCAAATGCCGGTTCCGATGACCTTCACTTTTGCCGAGAATCCTTTTTACCAAGAAACGAAGCGGGACCCTCATGCATGCATGCTGTTATGCGTCTCCAAGACAAACATGAAGACGAGGAGCTTGCTTCAGGTTACCAAGTTTTCAGTTTTCTATTATTGTGGTTCAGCGGTCGATACCCAAGTCTGCAATGGGCGCTTCAGGTAAGCAACTGGGTAAAGCTCAGGTCCAGAGAATGGAAAAGGGACGCAGCCAACTGAAAGCAGAGAGGGAGGGGGGTTCTGGAAGTTCTCTATTATTCTACGTCTGTTTGTCTCGTTAAATCGGTAGTGAGTGATATATCTTTGAGAGTAAGGAGGGTGAGGACAAGTCAGCCCGAGTTAGCCCAAGTTGACGACGAATCGTTCTGTGGATGTTTAAACTACGTTTTGACTATGATTCTGTCAGGGGATAAAAAGAAATCATTGAACTTTGTTGATTTGTTGGAGAAAAATTACTAGCTTTTGTTGCCTTTCGCTTAACACTCTCCTTACTTTAAAAATAGTTTATCAGTTAATATGAGAAAAGCTTATATGAAATAAGACAGTTGAGATCAGAAATTCACAATAGTAATTGGTCCTCATCTCCCGCGGCAATGATTCATTCATTCATTCATTGTATGGTACATGGATATAGGGGGGGGGGGGGAGGTTTGGTCGTCATTGGACTTTTCTCATTCAGGGACCAGGGCGGAAGGATGTGACTAATGCGAACTGAAACATCAGGATTGCAGAATGGGGGAGGATTTGAACGGCTGTACTTTTCCCAAGGCACACTTTGAAAAACATACTTTCGTTGCACCTTTCGCACATGGCTAGTCTATTCGTTTCCGCAGAGTATTCCTTGATGTTCAATATTCTCCAAGACGCATTCGAGTCCTAGTGTTGAAGTAAAGCTCGGTTAACCATTTTAACTATTCCAGTCGCAAACATTCGTCTCCAGAAATGGAAAGGAAGAGTTTCCATCACAAAAACACCCGCACGCTCAAGTGTCACAAAATAGTTTCGCCGGTGCCGTGAGGTATTTCCAGGCCAGAGAGCCGGACAGCTCAAGGTAGTGAGTGCTATGGTTATGACAAGTTGCACGCCATATAAGTTCATTCTATGTTGCAGAAATCACGGTAAATTTCCTTAGTGAGCCTCTGGTTTCATCCGTTGAGCACCTCTTAGAGGCACCGTCGCGGTCTCCCGTCAGGATCCAAAGGGAGATGAGAGCCATAATCTTCATTCAAAGAGACATATCCATTCCATCCGATAAGGTTCTGGTGAGTGATTTTCGGAGGACACCGGCCACTGGAGGATCCAGATGAAGCACTCTTTCGATTTTCAGTTTTCAATTAACTTGATGTGTCCTGCCCAAGGATGAGCTACACCGGCCGTTCAGAGACAGTTTTCTTAACTCCAGCTATCATATCCAGCTCAGTTCCACCACTTCTTTACACCCGCCAAGTCCGTGCATAGATAGAATCCTATACTCGATATTCTGCTTTATGATCTACCGTTGAGGATCGGGAAACCGTGTGGACCATTTGATTCTGTTTCTGATTCCCATGGCTTTGTGGTTTGGGGATATTAAAGAACCACCCAAAGTTGCGACTCGTGACGATATACAGGAGGACTTTTTCTGGTAGCTACTGTATTCATTTCACCAGCGGATCTCTCTTTGGAAGAATTGCCGAGCTTTGGCCGCGAGTAAATAAAGCTTTACTAGAGTGGCTAGTTTCGTAAGTGATGAATTGATGAAGTGTCCAACTCAACAAAAGCATTTTGAGTTCGAACCTAGTTATGCCAGTGTCAGACGCCGAAATAGTCTGGGACAAGATTGGAATAATACCCACTTTCTGGCCCCAAATCGTTGGGGTTGCTTGGGTCGTCACTCCAGCGGTAACTTTTAAGTTACGGCATTTAGGGGTGGAGACGGGAACCAGATTGCACGTTCACTCTCACCTCCCCGTGCCATCAGATGTTTACAGAGAGGTTGCAGGAATTATATGGTAGATGAGAGCTGCATGTGATATATATACTTTCACCAAGAATTCTTTTTGTTGGACCTGAGAAATATGGAATCCATCCATCCATGGATGGCGTCTATTTTCACTGTAAGCATATATTTTTCTGCTCAATAGGTTCGTTCCCTGACTAAGAAATGCCTCTAGTGTAAGGATATGAGGCCGATTCTCATTTTCTCTTTAATTTTTCTTCCATTCTTTTCGTTTTTAAAAAGATTCATTTCATCGGTCAATAGGGCCAGAGATGATTGGCACTTCCGGAGCAACGACAGGACAATTGGTAACAGGGAAACCCGTTTGCAGCAGACACGGAAGGGTAGGGTAGCTGGCTACTTTGCGCCCTGCTCCTCGGTGGAGATTGTCCAAAGAGAGGTAGCGCGAACCGACGTCCCACCTGTCGGGAAAGGCTCATGATTCGTCCTCCGCACACTTTCTTCGTGCATATTATACACATATACATATATATACATATATATATATATATATTATTGAGGCAATGTTGTGGACAAGATGTGGTTATACAGCTGCTGCTGCATTCCAAGTATGGGGAGTGTGTTCTCACTTCCTTTCATTAGGGAGTAGGTAGTTTTCGGGTATTTTTGGGTACTTGGGTATTTGGATACAGAGTTGTCTCCAGAATACCCCGTAACGTATTGTTATTCGTGTATGAATACGTCATCTAAATACCCAATTGATTGGCTGATACATTCTTAATACCGCCAACAACGGCGTCTGATAGGGTAAGCCCCAGCCAAGAGAGCCCCTAAAAAGCAACGGCGGTATCTGATTTTGTTCCGCCTCTTTCTTGACTGCGATGAACGGTTACAGTTTGTGGCTTGAGAGGACTTGGCTCATCATGAAAATGTTCAGCGGCTGGCAGGGGGTTTGGCCAGCCAGCACAGGTGAGTTCTGAGAAGAGCTGGCATAGTTTTGCTCATGAGCTGCACATTTCAAGGATCTGTTTTTATGCATCCGGGTTAACTGGCAAAGTAGGCTGATGAACTGCAGTGGTAAGATCACAAGCAGGAGCAGTATTAAGTGGGGATCGATCACTCCGCGCAGCGTATTTTGCTCAGGCTGAGCATATCTCAGGCAACCTGCAACAGCCAAGTGCTGGGTAAACGGCTCATAGTCTGGAGACCAAGAGTCAGGAACAATCACTCCAGAAGGCACTTTATTATTCACCAACCAAAAAAGGGCCAATGCTGGACCTTTCGCATAGCCTGCCTTTCCCAACACCAGATATGCTTGGGCGAAGAGGAAACATAGCCTGGGAAATCTTAAGAGTTGATAAATACGACCAGGCGACCAAAGAAACCGCAGAGGGAATACCAGTTACAAGCCAAATGGCTGAATCAACAACGACTGCACCAGCACGAGACAGGAAAAGCCCTCAGGAGCCCTAGCTTTCAAGGCGTGCTAGGTAGCCCCAAGAGGCCCTATGTTGGATGGAGGAGAGCAAGCCAAGTGCTGAACCTAGATAGAGGGTGATTTGCCTGCCCGAACTGGAGCATCGCCAGACTGGAGCGAGAGGAGGCAGACATGACATGTCGAGTGACAGAATGTTACAACTCTTACTTTCGGTTTTTAACTGTTTCTCTTTCTCGGAGCAGTGTTGAGGAGTGTGTTGCTTCTGAGTGTTTGTAAAAATAACCATGGTGTGCCAGAGGACAGCCCCCTGCACAATCTATCGACCCGCTTGGAGGACTTGTTTGAGGTCGATTGGTCAAAGCTGCTGCGAATGATACCGCCCAGCAGTAGATGCAAATCCACAGATACATCATAAAGTTACAGATACATAGATACAGATACCGGGAGTCCCAAATACGCAGAGGCAAGCCGGGGCCCCTACTCGAAAGTGGAGCCTGGATTGGGTCCCCCGCGCTGTCAGTGGTGCCTTGGTGACAGAGCCCAGCGCCGTTGCAGCGAGCAGCAGAGACTTGCAGCGTGCATAGAAAACGGGGAGGAGGTATTGAAATAATAATAATAATAATAATAATACGATACCGCTATCCCGTCCCTACCCTTCCAGCGTCTCCACTCGCCTCTTTTCTCCTCTTTCTCGTTTCCTCATCTCCTGGCCCAATTCTCGCTTCTAATCTTGCTCTCCCACTTCGACTTCGTCAACCTCACCACCTCCATCACCCCCACGACCGACCTGGACATCCAGCTCGTCCTGGAGTTGGAGTCGCGCCACCCTCGCATCACCACTGTGAGGACTGCGTCATAACAGCTCCTCCGTGCTGTTGAGCCTGCGACGATTGGATCCCCATAACCCTACCAGCCCGCTAAATTTTGAGAATATCCGATTATTAGCATCTCCCTCGACTCATCACGCAAATATCAAGATATCTGGGCAAACTAAATGACACCAATCTACTCGAATCTACTTGACAAGGAATATCCTTGAGGCGTATTGATCATCCGTTTTAATCGTTTCTGTTCATCCGACCTGACCAACGGTTAGTCGCCACGCAAGCCCGTCGACTTCTGTGTTTTTATTATCCACCAATTCGCATTTTGATTCTGCCAGAAAATCGATAACCGCTGCGGGTGATCAATCCCACCGAATCACTTTGGAGTTCCATTCGTTTCCGTTTGGACTGGTTTCCGTGTTGGGCTGGGTGTAATAGATACCGACGTCGTTGACCAAAAATCTCAAAAAGCTTTAAGCTTATGCAATATATCCTCCCAACACTATTCGCAGTCCGTTCGCCTGGATGCTCCAATAATCCCTTTCTGCTGCTGCAACGATGACTGATCCGGGGACTCCCGCGAAAAGGGGCGTCGAAAAGGATGATGGTCTTGGAAAGTATATGAAGAGAGTGAAGACCGTGCTCAAGGGCCGTAACAGAGCATCCGTCTCGAGTATGACCGATATCTTCGGTGAATCCAGCAAGTCTGGAGCAAAAGCTGCAGCTACGTCGTCCAGGTAAGCTCCATTACCATTTTCAACAAAGAGAAGAGGCTTGATATTGGCCTGGTGATGTTGATTTTTGTTCTCTTTGTGCTTTTAGCAGTAAGCCAGCAACAACCACTGTGCCGAAGAGTACGACTGCGGAAGCTGTTCACGTTCACCTATGGAGCACCCTTCAGCAAGAGAAAGCTCGTGCCTTGTTCGCTAAATATGGCTTGACCTTGGATCCTAGCGAATGGATGTCCAAACCCGTCGACATATGTGTGCAGAGGGTTGAAAAACCTGTCCGCATGCGAGTTCGTCGCAACTGCCACCGATGCCTTACCACTTTCGGTGCTAACAGAGTCTGCATTGGCTGCCAGCACGTACGATGCACGAAGTGCTTCCGTTATCCACCTGCGAAGGCCAAGGAGGACGAACGGGAGAAGGAGAAGGCCAAATCTGCTGCCGCTGCTGCGGCGGCAGCGGAAGTTTCTAAAAAGATTGTCCTAAAGATCCCATCGCGTACTGGTGGCCAGGATCTTGTCCACAAGCCGATCAGACAACGCGTTCGCAGGACCTGTCACTGTTGCGAAACGTTGTTCATTGGCGATGCTACAGAGTGTGAGAAATGCAAACACATTCGCTGCAAGAAGTGTCCTCGAGATCCGTAAGTCTTTGTGATATGTTGTGCAACCGGTAAGGCTTAAAGTCACTAACTTGGTATTTCTAGACCCAAGCTTCACAAGTATCCCGACGGTTATCCTGGAGATGCAGAACCTCCTGTTGAACCTCAAGAACGTGTATGGCGTAAACCTAAGCGTCGAGTAAGATGGACTTGTCACAACTGCGCCAAGCTATTTAAAAACGGCGACAAAATTTGTTCGCATTGCCAACACGATCGGTGCAAAGATTGTATCAGAGATCCGTAGGTTTTCACTTGTTTCTTCTCTATTTGCTTCTGGCTGTTCACTTTTCGTTCTAATGAATGAATTCTTCTGCAGACCCAAGAAAATCAAACCCGAACCAGATCCTGAAATTCTACGGCGGGTCGAAGAACGATTATCTAAAGTATTGATTTCATAGTGGAACCAGTTCCAGTGGTGCCGCAAACATCTTTTTGGTGTCTGCTTGAGCGTCTTCTCTGCAAAGCCCGTACTTTTCTTCAATCTCTTCATTGTCTCTACTTTTACTCTAGCGTCTTTGCTTGCACATTTTCTTCTACGACCATTTGATGATCTAACGGTACTGAGCGAAATACAACCAACAAACATCATATAACCATCATAATCAAGCAATCAAGTCAGCTCTCACGTTCTTTTCATCTTCCAGAAGCCCTTGCACTTCTACCTTTCCATCCCCTCGACTCTTACGTACTCATACCACAACCCATGTCCTTCAATTCTTAACTTTTAACCCAAATTTCTTTCCATTCGTTCAGTGGGTTGTCTCTTCATTACCCACACTACTACTGCTGCTGTCTTGAGCTCGCCCCGTCATATTATCGATTGGGCTTCATTCATGCTTGCATAGGGATACCAAGTGTGTTTCAAGTCAAAAACCCCTTTAGTTCATACGACGAACCCACCAACCACAACATATCTGAGAATATTTTCAGCATATCTTCCACTCCCAAACCAGCAAATCAACACCACACTCTGATCTCAGCAACGATTGATATTACTTTGGAGATGGCGGCGATTTTGACCCCCTCCTTCACTTTCCTCTTCTACCCTTTTTACACACCCGGTCATTTCCTGTAAGTAGGTTAAATGATACCGTTGGAATACGTTCCCTCAATACAAGCATATTCAGCTACAGCAATCTTTTTTCCCATCGAACTTTCATTTTCGACAAGACAAGAAGCGATAAGACGTATCTGGAAACTATTGAGGAAATCAATTTCCCACATTTTTGAATGCCTCCAACTAATCGCTGCCTCCATAAATATCAATGTCGCAAATCACACATAGAATCAAGTGTTTGATAAATTAGTAAACTACGCACCCGGTTGAAGCACCCGGTTGAAGGGGATCTTCATGTTTTGTTGCTTCTTATATGGGGACGTGTCTGTCCGACAGCTTGGGAACGATTAGCGACCTCTGGAAACAAACGGACGTGCTCTAACTCCTAGGCGCCAACAGGTGTAAACAGCAGTATTCAGGTATTAAAAGGATTGCTGTTTGCTTGTGTGTGTTATGGTTAATTCGGAAAAGTCGAAAAGCAAGCCATTTGGAAACCAGGGTTGCCTTCCATTAGCATGATATATTTTTTATCGCTAGCATATCCACCTTAACTAAATAAACTAAAATCTTGATAGTCCTCCGGACTTTTCGGAGTAATTCTACTGCTGACCAGTGATCTTGCAATCACGTAGAAGTATAGGGTAAGCAGAATACCGTCGGACTAGTTAGCTTAACGCCGATTTCGCTCACTTTTCTGCGGCCCATGCAACCCGACCACCGAGATGATCCGAAGTCGACGGCGGGATGAAACATATCGAGGACGCTGTTTGGTTAACAAACTATTAATTTCAGAGGTTTATCAAGACCCCCCGCGCTGGCTATTAATTCTGTATTCCTTTCTTGACGTCCCGAGTTATGAATGACGCCCTTGTCATTAGTTACTCTTTTCGCAGTATATGTTACCACAGCAATAAATAAATTGTGGTTATTCCTTTTATAGCTTTAGCTGCAGAAACGGTCTCAAGTAATAGTTCGTATTACTTATCAACCCGATTCCCCAGAGGCAGGGGTGGTGAGACTAATTCATTCCCGCGGGGTTTGTCCGAGTCTGAGAATAGAAATACATAGATCACCTGTGAAAGTTGAGACTGTGGTTGGTAGAATAAAAACGGTCAGCTCCTGAATATGTCTTGTTGACACCCACCCAGACAGGGTTTGAATGTCAGATCATCAGCAACTGAAAATACATAGAGTGATTGGTGGTACTTATAGGGCGGGGCTAGACGGTGAGCTATTCCCTGAATGCGGTTTTCCTCCCGCGGATCAATCTGCTTCGTTTTTTAGAAGCATTTGTTCGACATTAGACGGATTCTGGATCTTCTCAATTCCACCTCACTATTTTTGCGGATCTGCCGATTCTGAAGAATGGGCATCTCTGTATCCACTCCTCCCTCCCTCCCCCTTGAGATATACCCTCTAACTCCATATCTGTCGATATGTTCACCACATCACTTCGATCTCAGGTGAATAAAGATTAGAAAGAGCGTATTTCCGAGCCTGCGTTCTTCAGAGAGAACCCGATGTTGGCATGTTTATGTTTCAAAAACATCAGGTTCTGTGCTAGATAGCTGCTGCGTCTTCAGACAAGCTCAATCAATCACAGCAGACTCGGATATCCACCTTGAAAACAGTCAAAGCTCGAACGAGAACAAGGCATATTCACACCCTAATCTGTGAGCAGTGGGTGGCTTGTTTCACAGGATAACGGATTCAAACATTTTTTTAATGGACAGAGAAGCCCGCCTTGCGTACAAGTTAACATACTGTAAACCCGTGCTGCTTTTCCTTAACAAGGGCGGCTGACCTGCGACTCTGGAGTAAAAGCGCAAAGCCATGTTGCAGTAGGTTGCATCGCCAACTTGATTCAGCATTTCTTATGAGGAAATCAAGAAGAGAAACGGTCCGCTGTTTCAGCTGCACCAGCCATTCGACATTTATCGAACGCTCAGGTCTTGAGACTCGGCAAACAGGAAAGCATCCGTCTTTGAATGCTCACTTAATAATTACTGCTCTTATTATTCTAAAGGCAGCAAGGATGTGGCGTTCTAGACTCTGGAACGACTGCTGACCTGGACAACGGCTAGTTATATCTGTCCCGTCCTGAGGCGTTGTGCTTCCTTGCAGACTCGAATCAAAGCTGGACGATGATTCAGTAATATCAGGATCCATGAGTAAACTGAGGTAACTAGTTATTGGCAGATGCAACTCTGTGGAAAGTCTCTTGTTCCGTGATCAACTACTTCCTCAAAAGAATACTCCGTTAGTGACATCTGACAACTATCCTGTTGAGGTGGCTTCTAGATATTATTGACACCCTTTTCAGGTAACGTGCTATGATGAGTTTCCCCAACCAAACCAGACCTCAATGGACATTAACACCTCAACTATTGATTGATCTGCAAAAAGCTTCCCTGATCTCGTTTCCCACAGACAACGGAAGCTCCACCACAAAGCCGTTGCCAAGAGCATTAGCTTGAAGACTTATGCGCAAATCGTGCAAAATTGTCGTGGATTGTTATCAGGGCATCGAACTTGGTATTCCTTTCAGGATGCGGGGTCTCAGAGTCAACGGGAGGTCGAAATTTAGTGCCTTTTTGCCTTTTCGTCCCTTTTATTTTTCCACCTTCGATTTGAAGGTATAGTTAATGGAGCTATTGGATAAATTCCGCTGCACTGGTTGCTGGGGGTCCTTGAGGTTTCTCTTTTGTTCAACCCGTCACTCCTTTGTCTGGGCTCATGGAAGCGATGGCATATCGAGCAAGGGGATCTCCATTTTTGCCGCTTCATCCCCCCAGTTCTGGAGCAGAACACGGGGTGCGCTTCGCCGATGACCAACCTCTCGGAGCCGGCCGAGGTTAAATGGGGACCGTCGCCCGGAACAATAATACTATTTCCTCATGACTATACTATGTAACTATCATGATCAACAGAAAAACAAAATGAGCTGAAATGTCAATGTTTATCCTTTGACGTGATGAAGTTGGGATATGATATGGCATATGTATATATCTCAACTCTCTCCACAAATACAAGGTAATAATATGCTTGATGGAAACATAGGAAATGTGTGTTTCGTAATATTAATCCTGCATTGTCGAGAAAACGGACATAGCAAACCAGCCAATATCACTTTTTGATCCGATACTTTTATATTGTACCACTTTTTGTTCAGAGGTAGCTCTTGGAAAATTGCTAGCTGAAAACACTTGTTAGTTGTGTTAATCGCCGACATATGTATCTGTAATTGATGGGACTGCAGAACGCATGGGCAGATGGCAAGACGAAAGGGAAGGAAAATGGGAAGAAAACGAGTGTTTCAAGAGCATTGACAGGCAGCGGACCCGTCAGCTGCTCGGCAGTCTTAGCAATACAGTGCTTGTAAACAAGTCAAAGGATCGCTGCGTTTTCTTTCGCATGCTATGTCTCAAATTGAATATCATCACCAAGTATCTCAATCCTTATTGAACAGGAGAGAAAACTGAAGCCTGAGAAATCGATCCTTAGCACATATGTTCAAGGGTATTTATTCATTTGATCATTTCAAGACAGGTGCAGGTATCATGCATGACCTCCATTGCTCTGCCATGGATTATGCAATGAGAACCCTGTCAAAACAAGTCTCGACATGAAAGGTCCAGGTAAATATCCAGAAGATTTCCTCCCCAGTCCGTCCCAATAACCGCGTTTACCAGGACCTAGGCGGTAGTGAATCATAATATATGAGCGTGTCAATAGACTTGCGTATGCATAAACACCGCAAGCAATAGCGGGGCGATTTTTCCGTATAGCCCCGAAAAGAGGAACATGAAATCATGCCAAATCAAACGTGGAGAAGATTGCGACGGTGGAGTCGATTTCATTCTTGCTTAATGTTTCCACCATCCATAAACTCGGTAGAATGAACGCACGTGTAGAAAAGAAACGTTCTCAAAAATGCCAGGCATCGATATAGGCCGGGGAGGGGCATGGTAAGAAAATGAGGTGACATTTGGCCAGGACATTGCAGTCCGGATATCGCAAAAAAATAGGTAATGAGATGGATTCTTTTTTACCTCTAGACACGGGCTGCAGATGAAGATGTACAACTAACCAACAATGTGTCTGGTGTTTAACCGTACTCCAGGAAATTCGAAGTGCACCGCCCAAAGCAAGTTGCTTGCAGGGCAGAGACGGTCGACAACAAAGAATATGAATCGACTGCATTTACCTCTCCGTTGGACAGGCTGACAGGTAGGACAGTATTTCGGTCGGTGGGGTATCTCCGGATTTTCCAAATGGCAATCGCACCAGCATAGATAACACTTGTGTTTTTATTTTTGTTTTTTTTTTTTTTTTTCCCCTCATGATGATTGCCTTAACTCTTTCTCTACGCATTGACCCTGTGATCCCACCGTCCCATCGTGGAAATGAGAACTCCATCCCAGGCGCTTAGTTCGCACAAATCAGAAACCGCCAATAAAAAACAAAATTCCCAAAATATCAACACCCGTCGCTTGGTGAGCCAACCACATCCGCCCCACGATCTATGGACAGTGTTCTGCATGAGGAAAATAATATCACTTATTCTTTAGATTTGGAGACTGAAGAAACGAGGAACTTTGGCAGAAGTGAGAAATCGACTGGCAAGATTCTCTCTCGTGCATGAATCTGCTGCAGGCCAAGCCTCCCAAATTCTAAACTGTACGGGCTGGCTCGATTGGATTCCCACGTCTCCATCTTTGGCAGCGAACAGCACATAAGGTGGTAGCCACACAGCAGACAACTAGAGCTCTGCATCGTGTCAGCGGATGCATTGTTCCCAGTAACATGGAAACTAATAGGATCATTCCGCGGCATGCAGTTGGTTTTTCAGCTGTGGACCCTTGAGTGGCTCAAATAAATTTAATTGCTCCTGCCCTCTGCAACTTTTTTCATATTCCTGTGTAGTTATGCAGGTTGCGGTTCAAACTCAGCAAGCTGCAGAATTCCCATGCAGCGCTATGGCTGGCGGAGAGTTGGCTTTATGACGACTGGTATTATTGTGTCGGAGGGAGACTTGATTTTTGCCTGAGCCGGTCAGCCTTTGCTGGAGTACTGTTTCCTGAGCAGCTGAAAGGGTCAAGCAAAAGGAGAGAGATAAATGGCCTGTTTTTTTTTTTTTTTTTTTTTTTTTTTTTTTTTTGATATCCGATATAAAAGAGTCTTAAATTATTCCTTGTAGACAGGCGGCTGGGGACCTGATACAAACTGTATCGTTGTACCGTTCGTTCTTAGATGCTGGGTTACCGAGAAGCCCAGCTTCCCCAAGCTACAAGCTATGACCCTTGGCGGGACAAAGAAGTCCGGGTGCGCTTGTACGGCCACAGTACTGTAACTATGCACGCCCCCGTTTGTATCATCGCTAACCTTCGCTTCTGGAAGATCTTGCCGAGGCAGGGTCTGTGCTCCCAGACCATGTCATGCAAGGAAAAACCGCGAAACATACGTGCAATGTATCGACGTTTCGTATTGTCATTACGACAGGGGCAGTTGTAGCAGTTTGGTATGGCTCTGTACGGTGTACAAGGGACCGAATCTGATCGTCAGCTGTGTAGATGATAAATAGATCACATCGTCAGATTCGCTTGGAAGCCGGAGGAGGGCCAACTGAGAAGGAATATCAAAAAAGCGTCGACTGATTCAATTATTCATTGGAGGCACATGCAGATATTTCTCTTCTATCATCTCGGGCCTAAGAGGAGGCCCGTTTCACCATTTTCATCCTTCTCCCTGTCTGGCTCTCTTCACACAGGTATATGCTCAACGGAGCGTTGTTTTGGATTTGAACGTGCCGCACAGCAGAGTCTTCAGATCGTGCTTTAGTAGATCTGAGGTGCAGGGACAGTGGTTTGAACGTCGTTTCTCAGCTCTCCGCGATGACATATTTTTGATTTCACAGGGGACCACCTAATGATGAATCTACTTCAGTTGCAATATTACAATTTGCTCGCTCAATAGGCTGAGGTATATATTTAGGGCTTTCGGACGCCCCTCTTTCTATTATGTCGTTACGGAATCCAGCTCTTAGAATTCCATACGTATGCGGTATAAAATTACTAAATATTGCTCAATGCCTAACCTGGCAGCCTAACCAAGCAGCCGAGGCCAGAGTTTCTGACATGATGTGTTTTTCAGCGAAGACCTTGGCTCATGAAATGGCTGAACTAGAGTCTCTATGAGTTTACGTATGGGTGATGCGGATCTATCACGGATTGAATATGGGCTCTCCTCACCAACCATCGGAAACGGATTCCAAATTCGCTTTTCTTTTAGAGTTCGAAAAGGTGAGCATTGGAAGACCAGGAATGAATGCTCAGTGGCTCTGTTGCCCAAACTGCTATCATGAATACCTTCTTGACTTACACACTCTGCTGTGCTTATTTAACTGTGAATTAAGGTCAGGGGAAATTTCCGGGTTTTAAAAACGTTTACTTAACAGCAGAGGTGACGATATTGGCAGAATCCATGGTCCGTTAGTCCTCCTCTTTGGATGAACGGTATATGATATGTGAAATTCAAAATTTTCAACATTTCTTTTCCTTTCTGACGTCCAGTTGATTCAAGTTGCTACATGCAGCTATTCACACTAAAGCAAAAGGATAATATACCAAGATTCAAATATTACAACTTCGGCAACAAGGCACAAGAAGATCCTTTAAGCTGCATGAAATAACGAAAGGGGAATGTGAAAGCTAACAGGAAATCAAGGCATTGCCACAGATCTTCTACGAAAACTAACCTTTCGTCCTAAGAAAGATATATATATATATATATATATATATTTAAAATCCTGTGATGGCTTGTCACAAAAGGGACCTGGAAAAGCAAGCGGCTTGCGCCATGCCCTCAAGTCACTCCCAAGTTCCAATGACTGTTTCGAAGGGAGCCGTGGCCTTTGAATAATAGTCGCCTCACCATAGCAAGGTGGAAAAGGAAATAAGGGTAGCAGATAAAGGCCTTCGCATGAAGGTCTGATGGATTGGGCGACGGAAATTCCGTGTATGTACGTGTGTAGTGACATGGGCTGCGAATTCTGAACGATAAGCCTCGATTCCTGGCATTCAAGATGTTCGGCAAGTTTTGAATCTTCCCATGCACAGGGAATAGAAGTCTCCAAAAATGTAAAAAGAGGAGGAGAAACAATCTTCCCAGCAGTAAAGGAATGAAGAGAACATAATTTAAAAAAATACAAAAAAAAATGTGTTGACAAGAGCGAGACTCGAACTCACGCGGGTTTCCCCATACCGGAACAGGAAATTCTTAGGAATTTCCAAGTGTTCATGTAACTTGAACGGTACGCCTTAACCACTCGGCCATCTTGCCATTCTTAACACTAGTTCCATAGACTGAAATTGAATTCTAATGTAACGCCCGATGAACAGTGTTCGGCCTTTTGCTCATTTCAGATCTCAAAACCTCACAGAGTCTTCAATAAGGATTCGGGCCGCTCGCGTGGTCGAAACGTAAATTCCCCCCTCCTTTTTTTAATTTTTATTTTTTCTTTCAAGAGGTCGCGAGTTTTCCCAGTTTTGATGAACATTAGAAAACAACACGCTGTCAGATTACGGAATGCCTAACCGGATCCAAGGATTGTGGCCGAGGAGGACGGGGCAGATCCATGTCAAACCCACCATTTTATCGGCTGGTGGGGCGAAGCGCTTGACATATATGTATCGCGTTTTTGAAACGTTTATGAAGTATCTCCCTCCTCACCCCAGGTTTATTCCATCTCTCTCTCCAGGCCAATCCGGCAGCTTCTGAAGAGAACCGGGGTCTGCCTCCTCAGCTCAAGTGATGGGCAAGCGAAACCACAGTGAGTTTCATCCAACCCTTTGTATGAGTCCTGCTAACATAACTACCCTTTGTAATTCCAAAGAGATATCAACTTAGCATCGGCTAAATAGCTTTTGAAATCATCTTAAGCAGAAGCTCTCGTTGCGTCATCTCGGCGCGTTATTCAACCGCATGGTCCACGTCTTCCGCAAGCCAGGATGGGCCAATTGAGGAGGCTGCAAATCCAAATGGACAGGTTTGGTGTAAGACCCTCAGCCCGTTAGAACTTGGCTGCTCAGCCGCAAGCATTATCATCATCAATGACGGAAGGTTGTTTGGTGAAGAGATGAATGAACCTAGTGAAGCCCTGCAAGCGCGGAGGGCGGCCCAGATGCAACGAGCCAATCGTCCCCCGAAAAAATAAAAAAAGAAAAGAAAATATCTTTTGAGACACGAAAAAGCTAAATAGAGAAAAAATTCTCTGGACTTTCATAGGCATTTGAACATCTCACATATGCACTGTATCCAGAGGATGGAATCATCACGGATGCTGGGATATCGATATTATACTTTCCCCACAAAATGTTGCATCTCGGAATCTTAACGCAAAACTATTTTGTGATCATTCATTTTTGGAACTCCGTTCTTCTGAAACCTTCACTGTTGCGGCTCACTTCATATGTTAGTATGTTAGTGAGCTATGAACTCTACATCAAGTTTCAAAGCCAACTGAAAACGAACGTCTAAGCCACATAACCTTGGCGATGGTTGAACGTTTGCTAGCTCCAGCAGAATAGGGGTAGAGAGGGAGCTTGGCTTTGTTACATCCACTCCTCACTTCGCGCCCTTCCGGACCTCCTTTAGTGAGGATGAACCATGCTTGTAGATTATGCGACATTTGGTGTAATGAAATCAATTACTTGACCCGACCCGGCATAGTGTCCTCAATGGCTGGATCTTGCACAACCTCGACCCTGACGCCAGGCTGAATATCCTGGAAAATTCATCCCCGGGGGGGATTGTCTATAAAGAGATGACCTACTTCCTGCTTTTCTTCCACCCACTTCCATACGTGTGGTTTTCTCAAAAAGGAATACAGTTTCCATATGGAGTGCAGCTGAGGCTATTTTACAACTGCATAATCAGCGATCATACCTCGACTCTCTTCCCTTAACTTTTACCTTTAATCGACATCACCTGTAGCAACAAGAAAGGCAAAGAAAGCAGGAAGTATGAAATCGATATTCAGCACAATCGCCCTAATTGCTACCGCAATCGCAGAGACAATTGATGTCAAGGTCGGCGAGAATGGCCTCACCATCGAACCTAGCAACATCAACGCTCGGCAAGGAGACGATGTCGTTTTTCATTTCTTCAGCGGAAACCACGACGTCGCTTCAGGGCCCTTTGCCTCACCATGCACACCCTCGGACAATGGATTCTATTCAGGCATCATAAACGCGAATGGCAACCAGCCCGACGCTACCTTCACAGTGAGAATCAACAACACGAATCCCATTTGGTTGTACTGCACAACCAGTGGCCATTGCCAAGGCGGCATGAGCGCTGTAATTAATCCACCGTGAGTTTCTCTCTTCTCTGTTTTCTCTAACCCATCCTTTACCCCTTGCTGACCTTGTGGAAAACGTAGTCGAAACGGAAACACCCTCGATGCCTATAAAGCTGCCTCCGAAAACGCCAACAGCGTTCGACCACCCCAGGTCCGTGGGGGTATTTTTAGCGCGGATGGAAAGAGAAACGGTGGCGGAGCGAGTACATCGAGCTCCAGTTCAGGAACACCCTCCAGTACTGGCGCTGGCGCTCGCACAGGCACGGGTACTGGCACTGGCACTGGCACTGGTACTGGTACCGCCACTGCTAGCGCCACCGGTGCTACAGGAACTGGCGCCGCATCTGCCATCTTATCAGAGAAGACAATGCTGTTTAATGCATTTGCGGCTATCGTTGCGGCTGGTGCGGGCTGGGTTGTCCTCTTGTAGATGGAGAGCTGAGAGAGACGGCAGGGAATGTGGAGCTTTTGTATCAATATCAAAGTCAATCATTATTACTGCTATTGTTTCCGGCGTTTTTTTTTTTTTTTTTTTTTTTTTTTTTTTTTTTTTTTTTCCCATGGCCCTCTTCTCCGCCGTTTCACAAGATGGAGACGCGGACAAATTGCATTTATATTAATTAGGTTGGGGAGCCGGATTGCGGAGAAGGTAGGACTTTGTCTTGTGGATTTTGGTATCCGTCCTACTTCTTTCAGCATTGATCTTGGTCTTGTCCATCTTGTTATATGCTCCTGACTAGTTATGATATTATGGAGTCTTTGGTTCTTCGAGTGTCTGTTCTCACATCTCTATTGAAATGTTTTAACACACAGAAGCAAAATGGAAAATAATGATAGTTGTGCATATCAAGATATGTGGTAATTATGAAGACCTTTTCCAGGCAAACCATCTCCTGTCTGGCATGGGATTGTTAAGTCATAGTGAAGGCGGGAGACTGGTCTTGCTTTCAATTCCGTCATTTGCTATCCCCTTCTCTCCTGGAACATTATGTTTCGTAGGAGTTTCACCACCACATCCATGTTACTCTCATTTTTGAAGCCCCAGAATTATAATTCCTTTTCTATATGATATTCAAAATCAGATTTCATTCCTTCCTCCTTGCGCTCTATGTCTCTATGGTTGTATGACCCATAAAATATTACCGACGTAGCAGTTGATAAGATTGATAGAGATAGTTAAGTAAAGAACAGCGACGAAAAGAGTGGTTACATAGAAAATTGAAGCCTCCGACTCATCATCTCCGTCCCCAAACTCTTGTCAAAATCGATTTTCCCATGCAACGCAACGCGATGCCCCAGCGCACGGCGAATAATCCAATCCTTACTCTTAATTTCTTCCTCCGGTTCCCGCCCAGGCGCAAACGGCAGGATACAGTCACTCCCCTCTAGTCGCTTCAAAATGACATCATCCTCCGGACGTGAAAAGTACACCAGGCTATACCTCGTAGTTTCAGCCTGAGCCCCGGGAGGAGATACTACTCTGTGGATATTAGAGCGTAAAAGTCCGTTCGTGAACTTCACCATGGCATCGCCTAGATTTATGATTGCATGGCCTGGCAAGGGGCGCACGTAACACCAGTCCGCGTCCTGTCCCGGTGGTAGGATTTGAAGGCCACCAACGCGGTTGAAGAGAACGGTTACGCTGCCGAAGTCCGTGTGCTGGCCTAGCGCCGTCGTTTATCGTCTGGCGGCTGGGGTGGCGCTTTGATCATTCGTACCATGAAGGTTTGCTAGAGTTGATGGTGGGAGGCGAAGTTGTTCGTTCAGGAGGTTAAGTACCATTGTAACGATGCTGTGGGCATTGGCTATGAAAGACTTGAAATGGGGTCGAGACTTATTCAGGATGTCAGGAGCTGGTAAGGGGTCCGAAATTCCAAAGATGTCGTCCTTGGAAACCTGGTTGTGCTTTGTTAGTTTTTATTTCATTGAGCTGCACATGTAAATTCAAATTCAAAAATACTAAGTGGGTTTGTTTCTGCAGACTTAGGTAACTTTTTTTCATTTGGAAAGGATGAATGATACATTATAGAATTCATTCCTGTCAGCATTCCCCTGGTTGTCGACGATTGCCACTCCCTTCTCCTTATATCCAAAGTATGAATTTTGTTTGCTAAAATCATACCGGCGTTTTTCGTCGAGATCTAACTCAAATAGCTGCTCCCCAATCCCGAAGAGTTCGTCAGCCTCAGCAAGAATAGGGCTCCCACGCAGGTCCAAATAGAAAAACCCTAGTTCCTTGCATGCGCTGAAGAAACGTTGCACCTCTGCCTCATCATGGTTTACGAGCTTTTCCAGTGAAAGACGCAGAAGCGGGGCACAGGGGACGTCATCCGCGAATAGCGGGATTCCGACAAAATTCTGTTCATTTGTTCATGGGATGTTTACATAAATTTGTGCATAAGCAATGATGAATGGAAACCAAGAGAGATTCGTCGTAGGCAATAGGGGTTTGACAATGGCATCTATAGATATTTTAGGTCCAGGGGAGAAGAATGAGTCCCGTTTGGATTTATTGTCCTGATCAGCAAGGCGGGTAAAGAAATGACATACCGAGGCCCTGTTTCTGCCCCGTAAGGACCTTAGGCTTCGTTAACTTCAGCTAAATACCAGGTATCTCCAGGTGTGGGGAGTTCCAACCTCCATGAAATGCGGAGTTGATATTGCCGTCAATTGAGGTGAATCAAACGCCATTTTTAAGGAGCTGCCAGCATGTTTGCACAGAACTTCCTTAGTAACATGCAGGATACTGCATTGGACTGGTGATATTCGTACATACCACCAGGTTTCCATAGCGCAGGCCTGCTGTGAGACTCCTGAATTTAAAGAATGCCGATGGAGATTGGCTCGGTTGTTCGCCCCAGAGTTGGGGAAAATACAGCTTAGTCATCGACAACTGCATGAAATCTCCCGTCCAATCCATGAATCTAGAAATATTTCTGATTCCGCGGAACCACTGAGATAGATCAACATGGCATGACTGTTGCTGGATAGCTCCACGACAACAATGGCATCCTCAGATGTCGCCTCCAATACACGAGTCCACATTGCGGAACAGCTAATTTCGCGTGCGCACTCTCCCGACACAGCATGCGATCTCTTTACCGAGAGGGTAAAGCAGAAACCTCTCTTTCTCCGTCCAACATCGCCAACACCCGCAGACAACCGCTCTCGTCGTCGACTCCACCGTTTGCGAAAGAAGGAATATTTCCTGCGGAAACAAAAGCCCAAGCCATTATCTGCTCGAGAGAAACGGATTACTGGCATCTATGATCTACCAAAGGAGGAGATCAAATATGACGTATTTAAGGGTCTCCATCAAATGTGGATTGAATATATGCAGGATGTACTGGACTTGAAACGGGACAAATCCCAAGTCTTTATTAATCCCTTAGTGCACGGGAGCCAGCTGTCCAGCGCGGATTTCCATGGGGCTGAACTTGAGGTCGTACGGAGTCGCTGTGTCAGTCGTGTTGGTGTGAAGGGAATAGTTGTCAGGGACTCGAAGTTTACCTTCGTTGTAGTTACGGAGAAAGATGAAGCCAAGAGTAAGTAACTGTGTATGGGTATAATTCTTATTCATATATTCCATGATATTCTAGCTGATGTGTTTCTCAGCAATTCCTAAGGAGCATACGATCTTCCGGTTCCAAATTCCTCTTCCTGCCTGTGATGACGAGGATGTGAGAGGAGAACACAAAAATCTTACCTTCGAACTTCACGGCAGTCAGTTCGAGAATCGACCCGTTGATAGAGCCAACAAAAAATTCAAGTGGAAGAATCTGGATTATCTTTGAATGGTGCTAAATATCCTGCGCAACTCCTCGGGGAATACTCCATCTGTCTCCTATTGTCGCCCCATCTAGCCTCCTAGGGTTTTTGCGGTAACACGCGCTCAGACGAACCGGCTCATTTTGTTTCATCTGAAAATGGAACTGATTCCACTAAAGTCCCTAGTTAATTGTGCGATATGTGATCCATGGCATAGACAACGACGAACTTCTTACAGCCACAGATCCGTCCATGTAGGTAATCCTACCTCTCTCTATTAATCGCTTTTTGGAACCTCCTCACCCAATATTCAACTCGTATACATCCTCACGCTGGACACAAGGAATGTGTACGCTCGCATGAATCGTAGGGATGGTGCTGCATCCTTCGGAAATTCATGATTATATGTATAGAATAATCCTTCGTTCCTGGCTATAGAGTTACCCGCAAAGAACAAGCGTATGACAGTTCACACCTTTGATTGGTGGCGTTTAAATTTGATTCTATATTCGAATCACGATTCTACCAGGCGGAAAGCAGACGTTCACATAAAGCGCCAATCCATTTGCATTGTGGCGTGTCATTTCTGCGGCTACGGTCAAACTGTCAGCGGGGTCTTCCCTCCCTATCAGGACTTCCGCAGCATAATCGTGTAATACCATGGTTGAGGCGGGGAGTTTCTGAACTAAAGCATCGATGTTCTTCGCATCTCGTGAAGGAATCTGGCTGGAGGGCCACTGTGGGAGAATGGATGACGGAATGAATTGCGGCATTGTTGAGCTCTTCGTATGTCTACACGGGATAGTGAAAAGGAAAAGTGTGCATGTATGCTGTTAAAGAGGAATTTAGACCCACAAGGGAGACTAATATATGTACCATGGGTCTCCGAACACGCCCCCTAACCACCCATAACTTAAGGATGCTAACCAACCTTACGCCCTTTTAAAGGAGTCCGGAGAGACAGATCAATTCTGTCATGCAATGAGAAGTAGCTTATGGGTGAAACATCATTTGAAGTGATTATATGAAGAGTGCTGATATTGCGGAAAGAGGTGGTGCTCTGAGAAGAAACTAGGAAAAATATGCTCTTAGTTCTTTTGATCCGTCTTCTGGTCAGGTTGAGCATGGGACATCAGTTGGAAAGAATATGGCTCATGCGAAGTTCACATAGGTTCAACATAAGCTGAATATTATGAGGCATCTGCTCTCGGATTGGGTGCAGTTGGATCAAGACCGAGAAACATTACCAGCTTGCGAGGGTTATATAAGTATTGTAAACACAGGCCATGGAAAACAGGAGTGAGGTAGGGCAGCAAAGAACATACAACTAAATTTGGTTCATTATATTAATCCTGTGCGGAATGAAAAACTGGTATTTTTTGCATTCAACGGGTACATGTCCTACTAGTCAAGTCCAACATGTCAATGACAATCGCTCCATATGGCTAAATTCTAGCCACTAGAAATAACTATATGTATGTTGACAGATCTTAGTGGGCCATTCTCACTGGGCAGGAAATGTTTGCGGGACATGAGCAACGGTGGCATCTTTTATAAGTCACTCGATGCAGTCATCAACTCCTTAAGGGTAAAGCCGGCTAACAGTATGATATGACTATTTTGCTGACAATCAACGACCTTTCTACCACATCCTATAATGGAGGTATGTTGCTAATGAAGCAATATTTACCTCAAGGGAGGGTGTCAAAGCTTTTGCTGAGCTTCGAATGGAGGCCCGAGTTTCTGTAGCAGACAGTATAGTACAATCCATCTAATAGTATAAAACCATGCCATATCCAGACACGTCTAACATGCCCTTAGAAATTGACATCTCTATCTGCTGTTGGAGATGACCTAATCCGAAAATGATCGTGAATGGTCAAAGTGATAGAACAAACTAAGCAGCTCACAATTCACATTCCCGCCCATTCAAAGCTGAAAGTCCTCACGTCATCAGGAGAAGTCTTCACACGTAAGCCATCCGAGGGTTCCGCACCTCCGATGAGGAAACCTTTCTTGACGCCAGTCCCCAGTCGGCCACCAGCGACTAGATTCATGAGGTCGAATTCTTCATCCCAATCTGCAGAAACAACTAAGAAGTGGGAGTGGAAACGTAACGGGTCTCCGGGATAGGCAAGGTATTGGCATCCGAAGCGGAGGCCAGGAGATAGAAAGTATCCTTCCGAGTGTAAGTGTTTAAAAAGAGGGTAAGATGGTGGTACATCTGGCAGAGTGGAGAACGAGGGAGGCGTGGTTGTTGGGAATAAACCGTTCGATGTTGCCGGGGTTATTCCGAAAGCGGCATGCACAGCAATGGATGGCCTGGAGGACGTGAGGGCTGAGTGAAGAGCTGGTTCACCGTTGTCGAAGAGTAGTTCCTCGGGTTCTTCTTGATTGGAACTTTGAGATTGAGAAGGTGACTGGCTCAGGTCCTGCGGTGACTCTGTCTGTTTAAACGTTTGTTTCTTCTTTAATTGTTTGAGAGCCTCCTCTCTCTTTTGTTCTTTACGACCAGCTTGGACTAGAGCCGCTTGGCGACCTTCTTGCTCGAGGCGCTGCAGGTAACGACGTCGATCCTGATCAGATATGTTTTGCATGCCATTCTCATGCACTTTGATATCATCAACAATATAGGCCACGCCCTTCTCTATAAGCAGCCTTGCCTCCTCGGGCATGAGTTCCAGGGGAAGGCCAAGGAACACATTCTGCTGTGGGATTTGGGGTAGTGTTCCTATCAAGACGCCACATATATGATGTTCCCGGCGTAGATAGGTCGCCGCATCAGCTGAGAACAAAAAATAATGTCCAGATACCAAAGAGATAGGAACTGGGAGATCTGGGATGATCCCCATGATGGCTAAGTCGGCATTGATGAGGAACGTTAGGGGTTAATTTTGGCCAGTGCTTGGTTCAACTGAAAAGTAGAGGTTAGCTATCTTTAATTAACACCACGAATTAATTGAAAAATAATATCAATGTGTCTAATGAATCATAAGAAAATTTACGTTTCTCGTCACTGGAAAACCATATTTAGATTGGGGTTCTCAGGGGATTGACAGATTTGTAGTGAATTAATCATCTAAAAAGAAGATTTTGAAAGGAAAATGCTTTCGCTTACCGACTACGCATCATCACCATCATCGTCATCATAACCACGATAGCTAGGAGTTCAACTCCCTCAGCAGAAGGATTTATCTGAAGTGGTTTGAGCGTTGTGTGTGAACTCTGGAAGAGACAAGAAACTTCCCACTTCAATATTTTCCCGGAAGCTAGTGGATGACTGGTCACGTGGTAGAGGTTGGTGAGCTGAACTTTGGAGCTTGCCTTCGCATTTGAGACCACGATGAACGTCACATCATCACATCCCATCTCATCAATCGATGAACTGTTCAGTAATTTATATACAGTGTAAGTGCAGTTATCTCTAATGAATGTCATTTGGCTCCTCAGCCTCCTCTTCTTTGGGCCGATTCTTCTTCTTATCGGTAAGTGCCAGGTTTCTCATCATCTACAATTCCCGGCCCCACGGCTTTCTCGGATATAACTAACTTATGCAATAGTGTTTCTGGCATTATCGTCCTGTCTCGGGGACGGTTTTCGTGCCCACCTTGCCGGCTTTTCTGTCAACCCTAGAGAGGGCGCCTACGGTCGTAGTTATTTACGAACAATGACAAATAGCGGCTCTGCCATGTCCGAGCATGTTGAGCTTGAGGATATGATAAGAGATCAGGTGGATTATGACAGCGATGATCCGAGACAAGATATCAGTTACAGCTTCGGTATCCACGGGGATGATTAAGATATTAGAATTCGAGGTCCTTTTTGCTTGTGCCACCTGAAGCAATCCCTTGTTGCGTTTCGGTATCTCCCTCTACTGGGGGCAAGTTGAAAAGTTTGATTGTGAACTTTCTCCTGCTCAGAGTGAACGCCCAATCATCGCCCAAGCTACTGTCACCACCTCCGCCTCTTTCATGCAGGACCGGGAGCCGGTGGATTTTGAGCATACCCTGTGGTGGTTCCTCTTGTGCGGTGGCCGCCCCCGATGTTGCAGATGGGCTGGTATCTGATAGATGTGGGAAGGGAGCCAGCTCGATTACACCATCGCTCAACAGTTCAATCCATCGAGTGAGTCCCGAAGTTCGAGGATACAGAGACAGCGGGAGGGTGATCATCGCGGTTATGAGATTGGAGTTTGTGGACAAAATGGCGCGCAATGAGTGCAAAAACTGCAACAAATGTTCGGGTTGACTGGCATGTGGGGGATATATGGCGGGTGAGAGTAAGGATGGAATGATGATTCGGTGGACGACATTTGGCTGTGAAGTGGATATTGCGGTGGAGAGTCGATGGAGAACTGATGTATATGGGGAAGCATCAGGTGCGGAGGTTGATAGAGGGACATAATTTATAGAAGCCAAGGAGGGATGGGTAAGGCGCTTCGTTAAATCAAAGGTGTGACAGAACACATGCGGCGTCGGAGCGGACTCTGATGAATCTGAATTCTTTTCTGCTGTTGGAGCAGGAACTGTTGAATTATTAGCTTTCATTCAGTTTTTCAGAGACCTAGACGAGGCATCCATAGTGTCGTCGCCTTTTAGAGGATTATTCAAGATGGATGCTTTATGCTTGACCAACTCACCTCTCGATCCTGCAAAGCCTGTACCATACTCTCCCAATCGCTCATATCTCCAAGCTATTTTCATTTTCTCCCCTTTTCCTTTACTAGATTTTTTGTCATCTGCAGCTTCTGCCGCCCCAACTAGGCCGGGAAGAGCCCTTCCCCACTGCTCACCTACTCCGATAACGTGGATCTGGTGCTCTTGAACTACACCCTCCGCAGCATAATATCTGAGCAAAGCACCCGCGTAATCAGTTGTACCTCTTTCTTCAATCAGGAGTGAATTCCCTAACACGAATCCAGCATGCCCGGCTAACAAATTATCCAAAGTCTGTGTTCCCGTCGACGTTGTCTGCCGTCCATCAACAGGTGAGGGGCGCAGACCCAGGATAGGTTTTGCGGGCGGTGGTGGGGGTTGCGGAGGATGCGGAGGCTGTGAAGGTTGCGAACTGGCTTGGTTGGAAGCAATTCCGCGAGGTGAACCGGGAGATAGCCCTATATTCCGTTTTCGAAATGACATAGTTGCCGCAAAAGGAGAAGATTTTATGTTACCTATGGTGGGGCAAGTTTGGTATTTAGCCAGAATCAAACAGAGATATGAAAACATTTCTCCGTAGCTGCATGCCCGCTCCGACATGAAGCTTCGATTAGTCATGAACGGCCCAATCAAACCACGAGAAAGTTGTTATGCTCCCTAGACTTTTATAACTTTTTCACAGTAAACATCGCAAGGGTTTCCAGACCAGACCACACTAATTTAATCCTACGTTTTTAAGATACCCTCAAAACTGCAAAGCGGGAAAGGTTTTACAGTGCAATTGAAAACCGCAGTCTCACCCCGAATCCCCAGCCCTCACACAGCTCTTCTTCCCTCACTCTCCTCGGCTTCACCGCAAACCATGTCAGATCCCGTCCTTTTCGAAGATACATTTACCATTACTGCCATCAATGATCAAAAATACGACCGCGTAGCCCGCATCAGCTGCACGTCCTCCGACAATCTGACCATTTTTACCCTCGATGTGAACACAGAGCTATATCCCGTTGCGACGGGAGAGACATTGTCCCTCGCGCTTGCGTCGACACTTGCTCTTGATGGTAAAGATGATAGCGCAGGCGGTAAGGGTGCTTGGAGGGATGTTAGTATGGGGGAGCAAACCCTAGCGAACGATTATGACTATGTATGTCATGGGAAGGTTTATCGGTTTGAAGAAGGGAACACGGTGGAGAATATGTGAGTGGAGATCGTTGACACTTTTAGGCTTATTGCATTTCCTCTATGTATCCTGGTTTTAGAACTGACGTAATTCCTCCTTTAAATTATATGTAGGTCTGTTTTTGTATCGTTTGGAGGACTTTTGCTCTACCTAGAAGGCCCTTATAAGAAGCTCAGTCCACTTCGGATCGACTACATCTACCTTTTAATGAAAAAATAGTGAATTTATATACACGTATGTCTTTTCAGGAGAACATTCTTGAACTTCACGGCCTCCAGATATATTCTCAAGGAACGTCTAGGACTATGAACAGGGCAATAATGGAAAACTGAGCCTGTGGTGCGGAACAGTCAGGATATTATATTAGAATTTGGGCATTTAGCGTGGGCGTTTCTCTTGTCCTAGTGGTCGTAATTTCCAAAATAAATAAAGCAAACAATATTCTAACCGGCGCACGAAACCAAACGAGACAAATGAGGCATTTAACGGGAAAGGGAAAAGGAAAGGGAAATAGGAGTGCACTTTTAGAAAAGCGGGAATCCAAGACGTCGGTGTATTCTCGCGGATATCTCAATGTAATTCTTTTCTTCCTCCGGCGTTATCTTCCCGTGTCTCATGAGGAAATCGATCATGACAACCGCACAATTCGGTTTGAATTTCCCCGCTTCCAGCGCCTCTATCACCTCCGGAATCGACATTAAGAAGAACTCCCCCACCTCCCCGTCCTTTGGTTGCAGGAAAATATCCGGCTCAAGCTTGAGATCGTAGATATACTCGCACTCGGGCTGCACAACACCAGTTTCGCCTCCGGCGTTTTTATCACGGATGTAGATGTACGTCAGACAGCCGCACGCTATCGCTTTCTCTGCCACCTCTCTCTCCAGGGATGCTTCCTCCATTGCTTCTCGCAACATGCACTCGAACGGAGTTTCCCCTGAAGTGATCCCACCCGCCACGCTATTGTCCATCATCCCCGGAAAAGTCGATTTAGTCTCTGACCGCACGGGAACCCATATCAGAATCTGTCCATCTTTCACTGTGTAGGCCGTCATGTGAATGCCGAAGGTTAGGATTCCAAAGAGACAAGCTGCAGAGCGCTCCATACTCGCAAGCAGATCAGTCGTCCCCGGAACGTAGATTGGGTAGAGCTCATCGCGCCAGCCCTTTAAGACTTCGAATGCGCTTGCTGCACGAGCGGCATGAAGAGTTTCTTGTATCAACTCGGTCCGCTCCGGCACTGACGCATCTTCATCCGAGAGAAGGGTCAGTGTGCGGGCGTCGTGGTCAACTTCCCATGATTCTTGCGACCAGTCCCACTTTTTCACCACATCAGTCTTCATGTATCCCAAAACTTCAAGGCAGCCGTTAATTTTAAATGCATAGAAATGGGACATGTAGTCCTCGAAGTCTTTTGGGCCATCCTCATAATAAGGAAATCTGAAGAGGTGTCAGTTAATCAGATAGGTCTATTTGCTATTGCGTGTTGGAGTGAGGAGTCAAAAATACCCATCGCACTCCCTGACTAAGTCGAGGTAAGACTTTTTGACTTCTGCGCCTCCCATTATGCTTCTATATTGAGGTCAGAGACAAGAATACTCTCGAAAAGCAGATGTTTGCTTAGGGAGGAGTGTTCAAAAAGGAGAATAGGGCAATATGTTTCTGTAGTGGTTGTCTGTACGATATCCGTGATTACTATTCAAAATATGGAGGGTGGTCTTTTTATACCCCCCCTGGACCGAGTTAATTGATAAGGCGCTCTCGAGGGGATTATACCCTGTCTTGGCGGCATAGGGAGCTCGTTGTGAATACCACCCATATTCCCGGGCTTTGACAGGAGATCAATGTCCAAAAAAATGTAAAAAATTCTACGGATGCAACCAGATTCCTAGATCCCAGCAGCTTTTTTCATTTGAGCCGAACGTCCAACTGATATTTACAAGATGCTGGCTTGGAGCGAATCGAAACACCCCGACTACGCTGTATTCAATTTTCGTTGCATCCAAGAAAATGCAAAAGCCTGGGGGAGGTGGGGAGGGCCCAGATGCATCAGCCACAACTGTCATCTTCCTTTTGTCCAACAGCCCGCGCCAACCCGTCGTGGAGATGCGGCGTGATTTGCGAATTGCGCCTGCGCCTCAAACCCTTAAGTCTCCCGGCGATACGGGCATCGAAACGGGACCACCCACAGTTGAACGTGGTTTAAAAGCGGCCTTTGCCCACTCTTTCAAAACCGTGACAAGTCTACAGAGTTTACTCCGTACGGAGTACTCTGCACATAGTTAACTAGATAGTGAGTCACCACATAGTAGTTAGTTGGTTGGTTGTTGGTTTGCTACACGCCGCCGGCGCTCAAGGTTTGAAAGACGAGGTGCTTAGTCATCACATAGAGTTATTAGCTAAGCCATCAGACAGTCCACACAGAGCTTCAAGCTGCATCTTCAGCTTCAGGTCCGGCAGGCAACATGTGTGGGTGGGCAATTCAACCCATATAGAGGGCACAAGTTAACCCTTGGATGATAAAGCGAAGCAAGCAATCCAATAAGAATGTTTTGTATTCCAAGCACTCTTTTGATCAGAGTTACGAAGCTAATCTCCTCCTGAGACAGAACAACGTATCTACCCCATAAGCTCTTGTTACCTTCTGCCATAGTTAAAACATCAAGCAGCTCTGTACCAGAAGAGGCAAAACAAAAACACACACACACACACTCTCTCTCTCTCTCTCTCTCTCACACACACACACACACACACATACACACACGCACGCATTCCCATACGTAGTCCACACACACAATACCGGCTGTATCTCCTTGCATTCTACCAGCGAGAATGTTCTCCGTCATCCTCCCCAGCCGGCCCTGCCTCACCAACGTAGTTCCCATACAGTCCGACCCCACCACCCCCGCGACGAACTTCGCCTTCACGTTCTCCGCAGCGCCCAAATTCTCCCACATCGTCATCTTCCTCCTGCCGGGCGTCACCTTACCCGCCAACACAGCAGCAGCTGTCTACATCCAATTCCCACCCGACCTCCTCCTCAACCGGAACAGCGGCCCCGAAAACCAAAACCTAACCGCAACCTCAACCCCAACCTCAGCATCTCCCAACTTCAAGTTCCTCGGCGCAATCGCCAACGAGAAACCCTCCGCAATCTTCAAAGTCAACTTTCCCGGCCCCCGACGGCGTACAGAGGCCGAAGAGGAAGATGACATGCTGGACGAAGGCGCCACCCGCCCCCTCGCGGATACAGATATAAATCCCAACGCAACATTCACGCTAGGAGTCTCCATCGAGCCCGCGCAGAACGTTGCGGCGATGATGGCTAATCTCCAGAACCAGCTGCAGCCCTCATTACCGTCCACGACGGATCTGGTCAGATTGTCTGGCCAGCAGGCTGCGGCGGCGAAGTTGACGCCGCAGGTCAGTACTAAGATTCTTGCGCAGCGGATAATTGGCAATGCGTTCAATTATCTGGCAAGCTTTGCGGCGTCGGATCCTAGGGCTGGGGGGGAGGAGGTTGTGCCGTTGAGGGCGTTTAGGGATTGGTGGACGAAGTTTGAGAGGAGGATTGACACTGATCCGGGCTTTTTGGAGAAGGGGGATGGCGTGTAAGATTTCTCTTGTTTTGGTGGGTGCCTAGGTGTGAGTTTTGGACGACTGTCCAATTTCTGTAGCCATGGGGGGATTTTTTTATTTACCTCCTTATATGAGTTTGAGGTAGCGAGTGTTTTTCTTAACATCTCAACTGTACATTTATCCTGTAGTATTTAACAGGGTGTATCATGTTCATTAATAGTGGCGAATGATCATTCCCCTGTTTCAGAAAAGACATATCATGAATATTAAAAGAAGAGTTTTAACATAATGATACCCATATCTCTCACTGTAGGATGTTATATCTAACTACCTGGGGTATCTAGAATGCCCACAATGAAAAAATAAAACATGGGATACAAAGCATATACACCTGAACCCCAGTCCCATATGTAAATAAGGTCCATTAAAACACCCGTGTAGGAAGCGGCTCAAGCATCAAAAGCCCGCCGCAACCTCACTCCTCAAGCAAAAACTCCAGAAATGCTTTCCCAACTACAACTCCATCATGCTCCTTCCCCGCAGCAGCCATCCCGCCCTCATACACCCCCGGAGGCAGGACCCCCATATCTTTTCGTGCGTCCAGAATTTCTGAAACAATATCCTTCGTGAATTCAGGATGACCTTGGACGGAAATAAATCGGCCCGGAAGATACATGCCCTGCACCTGGCATACTGGCGACGAGCCAAGAAGAGTGATGTTCGATGGACAAGAATGGACGATATCGCGATGCATTTGCTGGAGACGCTGCCTTTGGGTGAATATACACATTTGATACCGGGGGGTGGGAATATAATAAATAAATAGATAAATAAACAAATAGAAGAAAAGGGGGTGTTATATATACCAATTTGCGAAGCCCGAACAACTCCTTTCCTTTATCCGTGAGATCCACATCGTGCACCGCAACTTCCCACCCATTCTCATTTCGACCGACCTTCAACCCCAGCGCTCTGCCGATAATTTGGTGGCCGAAACACACCCCGATAATACGAACTCGATCCTGCGCTAGGATATCGGCGACATACTCAACCAGCCTGTTTATCCAGGGGATATCATCGTAGGAGTTGTGTTCTAAGGCTTTGGTTTTAGAAGAGAAATGCTACGACACATCAATCGATCATAATCATATCGAGCTGCTCGCCCAAACTTACTGGATCCAGTTAGCAGCACTGCATCGATATCTTCTAGATCAGGATACTCGCTTCTCTCCATGACATTCCATTTTGAAATGTGGAGCCCGGTCGCTGGATCAATTTTATCGGGCTGGTTTAGCAGTTTGGCGCCGGACAGGAGCAGTGATTCGAAGACGCCGCCATAGCCGCCGTACTTGGTCTTGGTGTTTGGGAGGGGCACGTCGCATTCAAGCACGGCGATGCGTAGAGGAGCCCGCATGGAAACTGATATATATATATATTACTAGGTTTAAAATAGAGGACGTGAATGAGTTGAGAAAGAGTTGACTAATAACCGATAAGCCGATAGCTGCCGCAAACTGGTGCGGGGGAGGGGCTGCTGTTTCCCAGCAGACAGAAGCCTCCGGGGAGGGGGCGGCTATTGACCATTCATTAGCCAACGGGAACAGTGGCTGCTTCGGCTATCCGGCATAACTTTCTGTATACGGTTAGCGGAGAGCCTCCAAGGGGTTATTTTTTCCGCTTAAACGCTCAAATTAGGCGAACTCTCCCTCTCCCGTTCAAGCGGTTGGCTTGGAAAGGTTTCCCAAAGCACGATGCCATTTCCAACCCTTGCAAAACAGATTGATTCTCTTTCAACCCACCCCACCCCTCCAAGAGTCCCAGGCAGACCCAACAATAATCCTCGACAGAAAGGGGTGATTCTCTGGGTCCTGTCCTTTCGAGGAGAATGTAACTCTTATTTGGTTTTACCCCCATTACATTGTTGTTAACAGAGCAAACACTAGGGTAGTCAGTCCTTCTTTTCAAGCTCTATCACACGGATTAACGGCTTCGCAAAAGTCCCTCCCTTGGCTTCTAAATTTTACACGAAGAAATTTAGTTAAAACGTGACCACATCTCCGACCTTTATTTCGGGCCTTTAATAACGCATGGCATGGAATATCCCTCCGCATCAGCGATTTGCTCTCCTGACCCGAAGGTAAATCGGAATATCCCTGTCTGCTTTGCTGCTGCGAATCTCTATTCGCCGAACTTTTGCAAACTGCGACCTTTTTGAAAAAATTCGTCACCAGGATGATGAATGAGCCTCCAGGAATATCTATCTCAGGAGCTACTTTGACAACTGGAGAAAAAGTATTCAGGGCCAGGTATAGAAGGGTAAAAATCAACAATGACCGCTGCTGATGTGCCTTCGCTGGAGCCTCTAGAATCAACCCCATTGTTGCGCGGGACTCCAGCTGCCTTTCATGGAAATCCCAATGGACTGGCTTCAGACGACTCACTCCTTTCAAACGAGGTTGACGAAGAATCCTTGGACCTTGATCTCGCAAAAGTTCAATCGATCCCTCATGGGGGCGAAATAGAACCCGGCTTCCCACCAGCCCACCAGGGCAGTGCCATCGCACCCAGCTACGGCAGTCTGTCATCATCGGAAGCGGTGGCATCCAAAAACATATCGAGCAAGGTTTCGGGACAAGCAAACCACTTCATAAATGTTACCCCTGCACAGTTCTGGACTATTTTCGGCGGAATTCTATTCTCGTACCTGATTGCGTTTTTCGACTCGACTTTAATGGGCTCCATCCACCCAGTCATCACATCTCACTTCAACGCCGCCAACTCCGCCTCGTGGCTCTCGACTGCATTTCTGCTTACGTGCACGGCCTTTCAACCTGTTATTGGCCGTCTCTCGGATACCTTTGGTAGACGGCCTCTCTATCTCGTTACAATTTTCATCTTCTTCGTAACCACGGCTTGGTGCGCGTTGGCGCAGAGTATGGGGAGTTTCATTGCCGCAAGGGCATTTTGTGGCCTTGGGGCCGGTGCGGTGACTTCCCTCGGCATGATCATCAGCTCTGACCTTATATGGGTGGAATACAGAGGAATCTATCAGTCTTATATCAATTTATGCTATGGGACAGGTGGTTCTCTTGGGCTGGCCTTTGGTGGTGTGTTGGCCGATTCTTTCGGCTGGAGGGCAGCGTTTGGGATACAACTTCCTTTCATCTTCGTGTATCTAGTTGTAGCTTACTTTACCACCCCTGCATCCCTTGGGCCGGAGCTGGCGAAGAATGAAGGATACACCCTCCGGCAAGCCATGAAGACTATCGACATTAAAGGTTCCGCCTTGCTCGTCGTTTGCGTGACGGCCTTGATGCTTGGAATAAACCTGGGAGGAAACGTTTTCTCATGGAGCCATCCACTGGTCATTTCTTCCCTTGTTGTATCCGGTGTGCTTGTGGCCCTCTTTGTCAAGGTGGAGGCAACAGCCACTCGACCGGCCATGCCCCTGCCACTACTCCACAGCGCCCCAAGAGCAAATTTGATAATATCAAATTTTTTCGGTAACATCGCCATAAATACTGTCCTTTTCAACGCACCCCTCTTCTTCCAGGCGGTGAAACTGGAGTCACCCAGCGCTGCAGGCATAAGATTACTGTCTTCTTCCCTTGGTCTCCTGGTCACCAGCGTGTCTACAGGGTTTCTCGTAACCTGGAGCCGCCGACTGACGCCCACGCTCATACTGGGGTTTGCATGCCTGCTCTGCAGCGGAATTTTCACATCCATGCTAGGGAAAGATATTCCAACGTGGATAGCAATGATTCTTATCGTACCGTCAGGATGTGGTCAGGGTTTCGCATTCCCCACAACCATGCTGTCGGTTCTTGCTGTCAGTGCCCAAGACGAACAAGCGGTGGTTACGACAACGCTTGGATTGTTCCGCAACCTTGGCTCCGTGATGGGTGTCGCCATTAGCAGTTGGGCTTTGCAGAATGCGCTCCTCTACTATCTAGATGGAAATGTATCGGGACCAGATAAAGCAGATATCATCCGGCAGGTTCGCAGATCCATCAGTGCCATTTCTCATCTTGATCCGTTACATAAAATCGAAGGTATGATAATGATAATTAGTGTTTCGCCAAGTTATACCCCCGTCTTGCTTCATTATTTTCGCCATCCACTCCATGCTCCAGGAACCATTGCTAAAATAATTACTGCTACAGTTGTTCATGCATACGAGCTGGCACTCCGCGTAACATTCCTCTCGGGCATCATTTCTGCTGTGATTGCATTGGCTCTGGTTGTTCCAATCAAGCTCCCGCGGCTGCGGCGAAAGGAGCGAAATGTATGAGAATATGAACGAAAGCGTACGAGTTTATCAGTTGTTTGGGGAAAGATCGGTCCCTTAGATGGACCTTTTATGATATATGTGATGATCTGAAGGCATGTGTATCGCTTTTTGAGAGAGGAAATTATGTGTCCAATACTTGCTTTTTGTATACCCATCAATAATTTCTATTAGCATTTGCATATTCGATGGAGTTGAATTATAGAGTAGTCAGGCGGAAAATAAACAAAACAGCAGTCCAAATGCCAGAAATCCGCATGAACTTCTAGTCTCCCATGTTGCCCCTTTTCTCATACTTTTTAGGGCCTTTTCTTTTTTCATTTTTTTTTTTTATTTTTATTTTTATTTTTTTTTTTCATTTTTCATTATTATATTTGTTGGGTGGGGGTTTCATATTGAGGATTCTCATTCACTTCAAGGGAGGAGTGGTTGTGTGTCTTAGAGATTCCACAGGAAAAAGAAAATCCTCCGTGTTTGTAATAAGCACGCGGCATATCCCCAGCCAACCAACAGGGATCCTGTTTCATATTAAAAATCCTCCAACCAGAAGTTAAATTGGATCGAATGGGAGATAGACATATGGTTGACTTTTTTTTGCTCTCGCCTAGTATACAGATTGTACCCAGAATTTCTCTCTCTATGAAAAGGCTGTTGTTGAGGGGCCCTCCACTGTTCTCCCAACGGTGACGGAATGAATATGTTGTGCACTTGCTGCGTGGACTGGAAAGCAAGCTGTGCCATATTTTTCGCATGCCGAGAGTCTAAATATAGCCCAGGCAGCAGAAATCGGGATTGCTTGCACAACTGAGATCCCGGTGGTTGGGGTAAATCCTCCGACTCGCTGAACTCGCTTTTCAAAACATTCGACATATTTATTGTAACTTGCTGCATGTCCCGCACACCATGCAGTGCAATACCACCTCAGCTTTGCCAGCTTGACTTTTCCCCCAGAGAAGTCTATCTCACCCCTCAACCAAGATAGCCCACACGGGTCACCCGAGCAGCAGACGCCGTTCGCTACAAGAGACCTTCTCTGAAGAGAGTGACATTGGAGATTGGGGAACCTGCACCTCCACAACCTGGAACAAGCTGCGGAGTCGTTTGTTAACCTAATTCGCAAGCAAAGTTGGCCACCGGAGTTGGCCACCAAAATCCTAAATACTCCATCTCAACAAATCAAAATTCAATCCAGTAGAAGAAAATAAAAACAAAAATAAAATAAACAGAGATCTGCGCTCAACAACCAACGAAATTAAAATTCAATTCCGCTGAGATCAGGGTAGCTTCTTTCCGGTATGATCTGCGAGATGGCAATCTGAGCTGTTAAAATGCCCGGGGCGTGGTTGTCTCGGTGATGACATCATGTAGATGCGGGTGCTGTTCAGGCAGCTCTTTTTTTGCAGAGCAATGTTGCGAGGTGCTTTAAATGCAGTAAGTAAATTATAGAGATTCACACACATTGTAGACATGAATCATGGCTCTCACAGGATGAGCCAAAACAGCTGTAAAGTCTTCTTTTGATCAGACTCCTTTTTGACTCTTTTTTTCTGTTTCTGCGTTGAGCGGCTGAATCATAGATGTGCAGCAGCTTGAGCAAGGTTGAGATCACACATTTTGCTCATCTTTCTCCCACCATCTGGATGTTTATTCCATCTGACACTAGCTGCTCAATCGGGCGGCATTTATTACTGGGTCACCAAAGGATGAATAATTAATCACTGGACGAAAATAAACAGGCGTCTTGATATTGGTGGCCAAACTCGCTCTCCTTGGGGTTGGCCACCTTTTTCCGGGCCCCCTACTACCAAGGTACCGTCGAAGGCTGTGATGGGAACCCCAAGATGCAATTCTGCAGGCTGTTTCAAAAGGTGCTGGAATTTGTATTTGTCCATTTCCCAACTATAATATGTTTTCCCCTTCCCCCCAACTCTTTTCTCTCTTCCCCCCCCCTGTCGCTTATCGTAGATATTTGACGCAAGCTGCGAGATCCGGGGTTCTCTTCTGTCTCTTACTCTCCCTCCGTCTCCCGTTTTCCCCCCCTCCTCCCCCCACCGACTTCTGCAACCAACCTTTTTGCCCTTCTTGTTCTTCCTGGTCTCTTTTTGTTGTTGTTATTATTATTATTACTATTATTATTATTATTATTTATCATCCATAAATTCATCTGCAGCAGCGCAGCGGGTGAATCGGAATTCCGCCGCGAGTTTATTTATATATATCTCTCCACTCATTGGCCCCGAATTCGCCTTTGAGCGTTGGTTCAAGCTAACTAAGCCTGCAGACTCCTCTTTGTCATCAGCGAACAAAATAACCAACTAGAAAATATTCAACCCTACTTTTATTATAGTGTCGGCATCTGCATCAGCACGTTATCATTCGCCCGTCTGAGGAGGGAACACTGATCCGTTCATGTAATTCCTCCTTTTGGTTGTGTCTCCGGATTGTTCTCGATAAACCTAAATGAAAAGTATTTTTTCGTTGTGTTGGTTAAGAAAACTGGATCCGCATTCCCTTCGATCTCGGTTCCTGCAGCTCCGTAACGTTAACCACTGTTAATTAGTTATAACTATATTGCCGCTTTCTCCACATCTCGCGACTATAAACAATCTCCTCCTCATCCTCCGCTACTCCACAGTCGACGGGATGGCTTGACTTCAATTGCAACATTACGGAATCCATGTGCATTGGATGTTCCACTCTGTCGACTTCCACTCTGCCTTTCCCAGGTGAGTTTAGAAACTGCTCATTTCTCGTCCGATCCGCCCCTTGGGGCTGTCTATATTATTTTCCTTGTCACCGGTGTTGCTGGCTGTGGTCATTCTCTCTCGAATTGTAGACGCTGACAGATGTAACCCTCTTTTATATATATATATATATATATATATATATATCTCCACTACAGATTATCTCAGAAGATTTTTCCCTTTTCTTGTATCCCACGGATAATTTTGTCTCACATTGCTGGGGGAGACGGCAGTGCAGGTCCTCACCCACGCCTATTCAAGGTTTACAACGGGCCCATATTGGCCATTGGAATCGAAAAGGGGGGGGGGAAAGGAGTCGTCGACAACGGGTTTGAATATATTTTATAAATATCTAGGGGCATATAGGGTGTCTCAGGCTTGCAGGCTTGACCGCTGCGAACCATTTCTGGGCTTTCTTCTACTGCTTTGTCGCAAGATTTCAATTCTCACCATTTCAAGACCTACATGAAGGTGTGAACGGAGCATGTTCTAGCGCCACGCCGCGCTCTGAGCACGACAAGGCATAGAATTATCGGGATCCATAAAGCCCCAGTTGTTTGGCCGCGTATCCGGAATCAGATGGCATCAACAGTTGGCGGGAATTTTCTTCCGCAAACAGAATACGATCTCTCTCTAAATTTGGCTGCCTCTGCCGGCACAACGGAGGTGGGGGATTATCCAGTAAATGGCGATGCCTTCCAGCTAACTGCAAAGGCGGCTACTGATTTCAACTCCCAACCGAAGAAGAAGAAATTAAATAATCCCAGCTGCGGAGATGCCTCAGGCTCCGGTGCCGCCGTATCTTCGTCACGGACGGTGAACTCCTCTGGCCAAACGAATGCTCAAAAGCCAAAGCGCGTCAGGACAGGTTGTCTGACGTGTAGGGAACGGCATCTGAAATGTGACGAGGCGCTTCCTCGTTGTCAAAACTGCCAAAAGTCTGACCGGCTGTGTAAGCGTGGGGTTCGACTGAACTTCATCGACACTCATGTTGCTGCACCTCCGTACGCAGCGCCTTTCGCCCACGACTGGCAGGTCAACTTCCATGATGAATCCCGGGAGATTGCCTCGGAATATAAAGGTGGCTTTGAACGGTATCCCCGAGTCGAGAGGAATGATCCCCCACCTCGAAAACCTGCGCCTCCCCCGTCGTCGTACAATTTCCCTGATATCATGGGAGCCCCGTCACTTTCGCATCAGAATCTCTCTCTGCCGAGTGTTACCCCCCTCCTTTCTAATTATCCCGAGCCTCCGCAGCCGGAAATGACTGAGGCGATATTCCAACATGCCTCACAACCTCATCACGCTAACTCTACGTTTTCTGATAACTCCCTATCGCATTCTCCATTTAATTCCCCGAAGCCCAGTTTGGTGTCCTCAGAAAATGTTAGACCTTACCTGGATAACGCTGAGGAGGTGCTGCTCATGCAAGTTTTCGTGGAGGAAGTTGGGCTGTGGATGGACTCAATGGACTCGATGAAACATGTAATTTGCCCTCTTTCCGCCTGCCTACAGGCATGCTGATGCAAAGTCTTCTGCTAACTTTCCATCAGTTTTCTCATATTCTGCCATTTCATGCTCTCCAAGAGCCGATGCTTTTGAGTGCGTTCATGGCATGCGGCGCCCGGCACTTGTTTCTAGTAAATCCATCATATGGCGAAGAAAAGGCTCTGTACTATTACAACGCTTCTACGCGTGATCTTCTTACCTGTTTGCAAAACCCCAATCGCAATGCTGTCCTATGTGCTACGACAGCTGTAATTCTTAACGTTTACGAAATAATGTGTGAAAAGGCCATGCAGCGGATGAACCATATCGCCGGTGCCCGCGCTCTCATCAAGGAATGCCGATGGAATGCCAAAAGCATCGGGATAGGGGGCGCCTGCTTTTGGCTCAATGTTGGCATGGAGCTGCTGAGCTGCCTTCATTTCAATTGGAGGATGGCATGGGATCCGGACACGTGGGATGTGGATATGAACATGGGGGCGTCGCAGAATAGCATCACGGGCGACGAGGAGTTGTGGACACATCGGATGGTATATATCTGTGCGAAAATTGGGAATTTTCGATCCACGATTCCGCAGTTCCAGAATCCAGATCGGGCTGCGCATGACATGCGGCTGAATCAACGGATACAGGAATGGAATACATACAAGGGGTGGTGTGACGAGTGGGCAAGATGTGTGCCACGCTCGATGCTGCCGCTCGGTTATCTGCAGACTTGGCAGACGAATTCTAAGTCGTCATTCCCGGAGGTTTGGTTAGTACGCCTCATATATCTCCAACGCCCCCCTTTTGTTCTTTTATCTCTACATGGTCCAATTGTAAGCTGTTAACCGACACGCATTTAGGCTCATCAAGCGTACCGCCGTGGTAGCTAGGTTGTTTTATCACACAGCCTGCTGCCTGCTTGCCCAGGTCCATCCCACTGAATCCGAGTTCAGTGAGAATATGATGGCCATGCAGCAGAGCCACGCTCATGATATCTGCGGTATTGTGGCGCATGTGAAAGATAGGTAAGCTAATACCCACTGTTCCTTAAAAAAAGACTATTGCAATAACAACAACAACAACCAACCAAACAAACAAACAAAAAAAAAATAAAATAAAAAGCATTGATCAAAGCCACATATTCTCTATAATCGAGGTCGCTAATTCTCAACTTACCGCCGTGTAAACAGAGGCGTCGCCAGCGTTTCTCTCCGCTGCCTTGCAATTGCCGCGGAATGCCTAACGAATAGGCAAGCTCAGGAAGAAGTACTGCACATCATCGATAAAATCATCAAGGAGACGGGATGGCAAGTTGGATTCCTGCACCGCGAACTTATGGAGAAATGGGTATGGAACAACAGCAACTCTCCCGCGCAACATCAACAACAACAGCAGCAATCGTCCACCTCTACATCAACCGGTGGGCCATCGGCACCATCATTACTTTCCTCCTCACTTTTAAACTCTGGCTCACCTAACCCCCCCACCGCAACTGCAAGTGGCGGCGGAGGGGGTCAAGGGCCGTCCCGTCCCCGGTTGCCGCAAGGAATTGTGAACCCGCTCATGGCGACGGCGGACTTTTCATACGAGGATCATCCGTACCAAAGCCATTATGTTGCACCGCACAACCCTACTCAGATTGGGAGTTATCAGCATTATGAGTCTTACTGATGCCCTTTTGTCTCTTTACTTACCTTTATATTTCTGTTTTACATAACTTTCGTGCCTCTAACCCCTCACTCGTTTGTATGGATAACGTCACGGTTATTCGTTTGTGTGCGTGCGTGTGTTGTGCATGTGTATATATATATGTGTGTGTGTGTGTGTGTGTGTGTGTGTGTGTGTGTGGAAATGTGGATTTGAGATACCAAAAACCAATTTCTCCTTTTCTCGTCCGATGGCATTTCCCGGGTTTGGAAGGCCTTTCTTTCCTCACATATTATTATATTTATGATGTTTATTTCTTAAAACGGAATTCTTCTGATGGTAAAGTTTAGAGGGCTTGGTTCCCATGTTCCCCATTGATGTATATGGCATTTTTACTTTCCCCTTGTTTGCTTGCTAATTTCATGTTAGTTAACTATAGCCTTAGTTAATTAGTTAGTTATTATTATTATTATTATTATTATTATTAACATATTCATATTTTTCTTGGCTATGGCAGTCCGAGACTCTATGATGTCATCCTGATGCGGCGGGTTTTAACCACACACCCTTATAGTCTCAGGGGAACGTCGGGACCCTGCATCATCACTCAAAGACATAGTTGAATCAACTCTTCCACAAAGGAAGAACCAATAGAGACACGGTGGATGTGCCCTAATCCTGCCAATCATAAATCCCTTTCTATTCACCAGCCACCTCTCCCCGTCATAAATACGGCTGGTCCAAGCATTCAGTGCCAGGCCTTCCGTAGAATGACGCCTACCACCGCGCTATCCGCCCCACCCACTATTTATTTACCTTGTGTTTAAATTTTTCTGAGATATGGAAAATTATGCACATATCAACACATTCACATCCAGGCATTCTCAACACGTCTGTTGGCGATCCCTTCTGCTTCCTCTTCTATTCATGAGACCCATTCAATCTCCGCGGCGCCAATCCAAGGAACTTTGGTCCCCTTTCCAAATGGGATAGATAGTTGGAACTCCATCATCAGCTCCGATCAATACATGTTACTTTACATACAGAACATATTCAAGCAAGCGACCCCTGCCATCCATTACCTACCTGGCTGAAGAATTGAGATGAAGTTCACTTCCACTTCACCTCCCCTATCACCATAGAAAATCAATACATGAAAACACACCATAAGTTCAAAAAAAGGGAAAGAAATATATATATAAACTAGAAACCAACAATGGCCACCTCCGACCCCATAGTTCTAGAACCCAACTCACTCTACATTCTCCTCTTCCGCCAGGGCGAAGCCTATCAATTCCACTGGGGTCTCTTCCTCACTACCACCAGCAGCGCCCCAGCAGCAGAAGAAACAGCTGAATCACCCGAATCCACTGAACCAGCAGAGACAACAGCAACAACTAGTCCCCCAGGCACCCTTTTCGAACTTATAAACCCAAACCCTTCCAACAGCAGACACTGGACCTACAACACCAGCACCGTCGCCACGTTTACCAACAAAAACAACCCCATCTCCGCCCTCAAAATCTCCACCATAGAACCAATCCTTCACGACCCCGTTCACGCCCTCCTCGCCACAATCCCCGTCGTCACCTACTCCCACCGTTTTGGGGAGGACATGTCGTGTCGTGTGTGGCTGAAGGAGGCGCTGTATGCGCTTGATCAGAGTGGGTTTATACAGCTTGTATGGACTGTTGATGAGATTGAGAAGGAGGCTAAGGGATTGGGGATGCTGTGTTGGTGTAGTGGGATTGGGAGGGGCAATGCTAAGGGAAGAGTGGAGCGGAGTGCTGGGTGTCTTTTCTGAGGGAAGTGGAAATGCGACGCGTGGGGGGAAGATTGATATGGTTGGGTACGGAGACTGGACGCAGACTATTGGTATTAGTTGCTCGGGAAGTTGGTGGATGGGGAAGCTTTGACCAAAAAGAATGAGAAGTCTGACGTTTTCGTTGATGGATGTGGTTAAGTCAGGGAGTTGAACCATGGACATGTCCGAGTGCTTTTAATGTGTCCATCAATGCGTCCATGGTTCACGAGGTCTGATCTGCTTGGCAAGGCGGAGAAAAGGGAGATGGGGAACAATGGTGGGAAAATTGATATCAAGAACCAGGAATATAGAAAACAATCAAAAGACTGTATCACAATCAACTTTAAAAGAAGATGGGATTTAAAGAACTCCTCCCCATGTTTTCAGACAGGATCTTTGTTTTGGGTAATCCCCTAACAAGGAACATGCAGAGAAACTTAAAAAGAGAGATTGCATGGAGTTGGTGTACGGTGTTTTCAGTGCGCTGAGCAGCGTAACAATCCGTAGAACCTGTATCATTATCCGTAAAACGCCGGTTTATATTTTTAAAACAGAAGGATAATCAGAATTAAAAAAAGTCCACTGCGCCAATGTTCGATTATTGAAGTCATTCAAAATCACATCTTCATATCAGTATCATTATCTTCGTAATCGCTTTCATCTCCCAGCGCACCCCCCGGTACCCTCCCCTCATTCAACTCTCGTTCCAACCTTGTGATTTCCTGTAAGCTCTTCGCTTCCCGGATCATTTTCTCCACTCGTTTCCGCTCCTTCTCGGTAAGTTTAACACGAATTGGCCTTCCACCAGGCTGCTCTTCTGATGCAATACGCGCTGTTGAATTCTTGAGTGTGGAGCCAGGGACATCGAATGTTCGGGATTTAATTCCCATGACTTTGGAGGCGAGGGCTGTGAGTTTGGAAGTGGTGCCAAAAAGTTCGGCAGCACAGTTTCGTTCTACGTCCTTGACTTTCTGGTAGTCGAGGAAACGCACCGTTGGAATGAGGAAGATTACCCAGAGGCGGTAGTTCTGTGTATATACGCGAGTATGAAATGGTGCAGGTTAGCAATATGGACAGTATATGGGCATACGATAGGACGGACAATGACGACATCATATGCCCAAAAAATAAAAAATAAAAATCAATAGCATAGTTCACCAACAACACGACAGATTTCCAGAAAAAAGAAATAAATCAACAACATTTCAAGGAATTCGAAGACACTAACATCCTTCCGCGTCACCGGATTCTCCAGCAGCGACAAATGCGTAAGTCTCGTTAGATTCTTCAACGGTTCTAGATCCGCTAGCTCTGCAACGTTATTCGCGGTGAGAATTAGTGTCGTTAGGTTCGGGATCGAAGTTGCTATTGACGGGTGGATATGCGACACGCGATTTCGAGCTAGAAGCAAGGTACGGAGACGTGGGGAGAAGGGGAAGTTGGAGATCGAGGAGATGTCGTTGTCAGTGAAGTCGATGGCGTCATGGTCCTGCCGCATATATGATTAGAGATTGAACCATGAACGGTGTAGACTGGGGCACGGAGGATGTAGGACAGATCTAAGAGAGAGAGCAAAGTTGATGTGAAGCAGCGATAGAGAGCGGAATAGGTGCATGCACATGGACATTCGAACATACCTTCGCAGCACCCATATTCTCAATAGCGGGAATTTTATGGCCTATATATCACCCCCATCCCGAAGAAAGGAAGAAATACGATATCAATTGAGCTCATTACCAAGTCTGTGACATGTGTAGTAGTATCTGTTCTTTCCAATACGCACCTCTGAGATCAAGTTCTCGTTCTTTGAGTGGGTTGAGGTAGGAGAGGGAATTCTGAATTAGCTCCACGGTGAGTCGCATTGTGTATGCAAGTTAAAATGAGCTATTCGGATATGTCGAGCGGGTCAAGGCGACGGGAGTTATAGGTGATGTGAGGAATGGTTGATGATTTGGCGGGTGTAGAGGGTTGTCATCGATTATGTTGTAGAATGAAAATCGCTGCTGATGTTGCTGCCGCGAAGTTTAAAGTTGCCTTTTTGGGCTCTAAAATCTTGGGAGGGTGGGAATGGATCACGTGATGTTGATGTGTGGTAAAATGTGGTTATGACCTGCTGAACCAGCACCAGATGGGAAATAATCGAACTCGATAGAGTTGATGGTCTATTGTTTGATGGATTGATTGGTGTTTGAAAGCTCGAATTGTAAATGATGAAGTTTAGAAAGATTTTTTTTTCTAACCTGTTCTACACTTAAACAAAAAATTTAGAAAGGGAAGAAAACGAGAGCTCCGCTCATCAGGCACGATAAAAACTCCTACAAATCCGTGTCCAATAACGGATCAAAAGGGGAGAACGAGTGAATGAAGAAGAAAATAAAAGGGGGAACATAGTACACGATGGAAGAAAGGATGACGAATGCAAGAAGAAATGAACTTGTACAAGTACAACGAGTGGGTAGCGAATGTTAGTATAGAAAGCAATCAAACAGAACCACAACGCCGGCGAGCAGCCCAACAGTCCATAACTCCCCCGACAAAGTACCCCAATCGAGACTCCATGGCTATGGCAAAAGGACGAAAGGCAACAAGGGAGGAGAGCGTTGCTAGGGCTATGTGCCACGACCACCCACATGTTGTCACCAGAAACCCAACGGCTTAAACCAAGAGAAACTGTATATATGATCGAAGCGAAAGTCCCCACCCAACCACATTGTATAACTCTAAAAAAAAAAAAAAAAAAAAAAAAAAAAAAAGAAAAAAAAATAAATATAAAAATAAAGGGTAGAAAGAAGAGAAAAGAAATGGAGAAGGACACTTTTAATCACCCAACGCCAACAACGGCCTCACACTGCCTACACCACAGACTTCCGCACGGGACTCGTCGCTCTAGATCTTCGCCCATTAGTCGTCGGCGCTAGCGCAAGGTGCGCCTGTCTATCGCGACTCTCCGTTCGCACCGCCAATCCATTGCGATCCATAATTCCCACATTGTGCGAGGATAGCAACGACCCGTTGCCATCCAGGCTGAGACCGAGGCCTACACTAGCTCTGTTCCCGCCGCCTCCTCCACCTCCACCGACACTGCTAATGTTGTTGCTCGTGCTCGTGCTCGACTTCGACCTCGCTAGAAGATTAACACTGCTGCTCCCATCCTCGTCATATGTGGCACTGGCCTCGTCGTCGGACGAGGAGGAGCCAGGGCCGAGTTCGAATTCGCGCATGCCGTCTTCCAGTGTGCGTTCGTAGGGGATGTAGCTACTTCGGCGCGGGGAGGGGGAGAAGAAGAAGAAGGAGGATAGTTTACTGTTGAAAAGGCCCTTACTTCGTCGGCGGTAATGGAAGCTGCTGCTATGTCGGCTAATTGGTCGTCCGAGAAATCTTCTGTACACACGATTTCGCCGTTCGCGGCCGTAGAGGAAAAAGATTGCGATTGCGACTATTGCGAGGAAGAGGAAGAGGCCTGGGATGCGGCGGGGAGAATGGCCATCGAAAAGGGTGTCGTGCCAGTGTTGTCGGTTGGTTCCGGTGATAGTATCGTTGGTAGGTAGGGTTGGTTGTGAGGTGGGAGGGAGGGGTTGGAGTTGCGGGCCGGTGTGCTGGAAATCGTCTGGAACGCCACCGGGGACGTTACTGCCGAAGCCAACTGGGAGGCCGTTTTTCAACGGTGGCACTTGGGATGAAGCGTAGAGAACGGCTTTTCCGAGCGTCCAGCTCACTTCTGTAGCACCGATCTTGTTAACTGCTTGGAAAGCGTCTAGATAACCGTCTGGCTTCCCAGAGACCACCACATCCTGGGTTCTGTTGTTGTGGCCTGTGGTCACCTCGGCTTCTCCGATGCTTGAGCGTGGGATGCCAATTCCGTCGTGTAGAATATTGATTAGCCAAGAGGCCTTGAAACAAATTTCATTGGCAGTTTTCTTGCTGACTTTCCCTCCCCATCTCTGCCCTCTAACGCCCGCTTCTATCTCATCCCATGGCTGTGAGCAAAAATCCTTCGCGCGCTGCAGATAGTCGTAGAAGTTGTAAGGGTCATCCTTGTCGCCCATATCAAATATTCCATGGGTGGTGTGCCAGTATTCGCTCACACCGATAAAATGGTTGACGTCAAAATCGATTGCAGGCACATGGACACCATGTAGAAGACAGGGCTCATCAGGACAAGGCGCATCCTTCTCGAGTAAGGGGAATGTCTGGAGAAGGCACTGGTCGAACTTGCCTGTTCCAACTAGATACGGCTCCACACCGGACACGGGGCCTTCAGGGGGTAGAATGGTTCCATCTGCAGACATCCGCAGTCCAGCATGTAGACAAGGATCCGGCCTACCCTTGTTCATCTCATCGACACTTGATTCCAAGAGTGCCTTTACATATCGACTCCTTGCCTCCTGCGCCCCAAAGCCTAACCACGACATGACAAACACTTTATACTCAAGAGCCCTGCCATTGACGCTCCTGAGCCGCAGAAGGGTTAAATCATTCGCATGTTTCTGGGCCTCAGTCGCGTTTGGTGCAAAGGCAATCTGGGCAGAGGCGCCTCCCATGTCCAGAAATCCGTATGTGTGATGGCCTTTCCCGTGATTGTGGGATCTGCTATCATCAAACCCGCCCATCAAATAGTTGGTCGCAATCCACCCGTAAAGTCCTTCGGTGACTCCCTCGATAACTTGCACATGTTGGTTACAGTCCGGGATAAGAAAGTCGGTAGTTTGGCGGATGTAAGTGCACACATTGTTGAGGATGCTCTTTTGCTGGGCTTTTGGGAGCAGGCGCATGCCAGCCGTTGCCAAGAGGAAGATGGGGGTGTCGGGGACATCTTCTTCTGGGATGACCTCTTGTACATGATGGAGGAGTGGTCTGAGGTGCTCGAGTCCGACATCTTGGGGATTTTGGGCGAATGTTGAGATGCCTGATATTGTTGACGGATTAGCACCATGCTAGAGGAGAATCTAAAATAAACCACCGATTGCTGTATACCTGGATGTATCTTTTTAGTATATTTTTCGCTTGTTATAATTTCGGGTAATGATGCTAGGTCCTTTGCCGATGCAGATTTGCGCGCTTTTACACTATCTGGCCATCTATAGACATATGATCGAGTCCCCTAAATAATCCCAAAAAAAAAAAAAAAAAAAAAAACATTTTTCACTCAGTATATATGTACCCGGATGGCGCGACTGGGTATCAATGTGCAGCACACGCCCAGCACCTTCCACGATTTGACACGATGGGACGCGATCAACTTACGGATGAACCAGCATCCAGGACGACAGCATATCTCCCTGTATAAATACGCAGTTAGCAAAATACTCCTGGTCGCGTAGTTTTTGACTCTGCTGTCAGGAGGGGGGAAGGTAATGATATACAAGTCAACATCTGGAATCCGACGCTTTGCGTGTTCTTCTATTTATTATACGTTTTGTTGCTTAGCTCGAATGCATCGCCCGAATTAACAATATTACATATTAAAAAGAAAAGCCGTAGTAGCATAAGCGAGATATAAAAGGTAATTTTTCGACAGCTTCCATCAATTTGGCGACCCTTCCCCTTGTTCTCTTTTTGATCGGCGGAGTATCTTGGGTGTGTTGGCAACAGCGTACAGTCTGCTCTAAACGGGGGATTGCGTAGTCGCGCAGAGAGAGGTTCGAGGCCGAAAACGAGCGTGGAGCTGGTGGTAAAAGCCAAAGGAAAAGGAAGGAAGAGGAAGAGAGGTGGTGAGGTCTCGAATTGGATGATAAAGGGGGAGATAAAAGGAGTCGAGATGGAGAGATGAGGTTGAAATAGAAGAAGATTGAGGCTGACGAGGGAAGAACGTCGCGGTCAGCAACCTCTAGCTGAATAACATAACGCAGTTAAAACCTGGGGGGGGGGCCAACCTCAAAAGGGAAGGGGGCAGAAGCCGGCAATTTTTTTTAGACTTTCTGGATGCACGGTTGGTACGATAGGTACGGTAAGGACGGTAAGCAGCGTAATTCTGGTATTTCTGCAGAATTCGGCCCCGCACAGAAGAAAATGACGCGCGTACGCTTAAGTGGACCCCCCAATAGGATGCCGCCATTTTGCAAAGTGGAGCTTTTACTCCGCGCTGAGTGGCGGTTTGCAAAAGGAGGACCAGTCGATCGATAGGGATATGATACTAGTGCCTGTATAGGACGGTACCTCCCGTTGTGGGGGGATGCAGGGTTGCGCTCCCAGATTACTATACAGTACGAAATATGACAACCACCCACTCTCCAAACCCCCCACTATTAGCGATGGGGAGGGCGGTAGAGATATCTACTCGGTGCCTTTCTCCATATTTTCCACCCGAGTCCCCAGCAGGAGCTTGTATTGTCCTATTAGGCAATTGAAGCAAGATCTATATAATCATTATTACTTGCTTCAAACAATTATACGTACATGTTATGCCGGTATTATCTCTCTCATGAAATATCTTACCTAGCTAATTTGTGAGACTGCAAATGTCGGGAATCAAGCACCATCGATCTATTTTTAGCGACAAAGCTACACCGCGACTGGTCTCAGGGAACCAACCCTCCACAGCATCTCCACATGGAACAAGACACCTGTTTTAGAATCTGCTCGAAAAATCTGGATATACAGATATCTACAAGTAATTTATCCAACGCAAAAAACCTACAGGCAAAGTGCCAGTGACAAACACTCCGACGAAATAAGGTTCCCGAAGGACAAAGAGTTGGAATTTTAAAGAGTTTTGACATTCAAGGGAAACCGTTACTTATTGGGTCATCGCAGTTAATCAAAATTGATTCATTTCATTAGATATAGCTTTTTTGCATTTTTATGCCTTTGTTCTAGCATTTCTTCTCTCTCTTTCTCCTGAATGACATGAAAGATTTGCGCT